CTTGACCTCAAAGTTGCAGTATTCCTTGGGCGAGTCCAATACCTTCTTGAACATGGTGTCCTGCCCATACTAATGCCTTATTTCATCCAATAGCCCGACCTCATGTGGGTATGTGACTGGGATGTGTTGTTCACCATTGCCATCAGTAGGTGTTTGCGGTGTTTGCGGATGTTCCAGCTGCTCCCTCCCCTCCATTTGGGGGGCTGGGGTCATTGCAGCCTCTGCACGAGGACCATGCAACATGAATCGGTCCCGCACCCTCCTCGCGAACTCCGCACTAGTCTCAGGCCTACCAGTCTCCGCTGGCTCGACAGGCATCCTAGGTCCTCGCGTGTGAGCCGTCACGACACTAGCGACTGGAGTTACCAGGGGTCGGTCTAGCGCCTCGGCCGCTGTCCCTAGGGCGTCCCAAGTTGGGTCGCCCTGTGCCAACTCCGATGATTTCCCCACAGCAGGGTTCCTGCGACACAGCGCAGGCGCTGGCAGGCGCTGATTCTCAACAGCCTTGGCAGCCACCCTGGCGCTCCTTCAGGGTGCAACCGTGCGCGCCTCGTCCGCAACCAGTACGGGCATGCTCACAAGCTCTGAGGCATCCGTAGGTGGGGCTCCGTCGTCATGAGCCACGTACTCACTTACCGCTCGCACAGTCCCAGCAGCGTCAAAGTCGTACATGCGCAACAGGGCATCCGGCAGCACGTTGTGGGCCCTGGGCATGTACTCAACAGTGAAGTCAAATTCACCAATCTTTTCCATCCAGCGCACCTGACGTCCAGATAGGTTTTTTTGATTCAATATGTATATGAGGCTTTTGTGGTCTGTCAGCCACTTGAAGGGGCATCCTTGTAAGATGTCCCTATGTCGCAGCATCGTCTCCACACCCACTAACAGTTCCTGCTCATGTACAGCATAGTTCCGCTGAGCAGAGTTAAGTTTAGCTGAGTAGAAGGCGGCTATGGTTGCCATACACCAATCCTTTCCCTGGGCGACAATGCCTCCTACCCCGGTTGGACACGCATCTGTCATCATCCAGACCTGCGGTGCGTCCAGCCCATACACTAGTAAGGGGACCCGGTTGTGGCCAGCACAGGCCAAAATGTATGCTTTTACCTCGTCGAAGGCTTGCTGTTCAGTGTTGGTCCAGCGAAACAGCACGTTGTCCCCACAAACAACGGACAAGACACCCAAAGGTATACATACCCAGTATATGTCATCTGCCAGATAACCGACAGCGCCGATGAAGCCTTGGCATAGGTCCCTATTGACCGGAGTTTTCCAGTTCAGCACCTTGTCGACCTTATCAGGGTCCATGCTGATGCCATTATCGCTAACGACGCTGTAGAAACAACAATACTGAGTGGGGCTATATGAAGATGGCTCCAAACTGATATATTTGTGTTGTGGTCTTTGCACTGCCTAGTCTGCTATACTTGCCTGACAAGTGTGTTTGACCCAGGGGTCTGCGGTCTGGGAATAGTCTTGGGGGTAAGTGAGCGATGTGGGGTCAATAGTCCGAGCGCGGGAAACAATGTCCAAAGGTATAATTATGATGTCTGATGCAAAAGCGTTGGGTCCGATGTTTTCGGGGTTTCGGGTTATCGGGTTCAGGTTCGGGGTGTCGGAGACTAATAGTAACGCTATAGCGAGCGTTGGAAGAGCGAGCGGTGTGCGCAATAATAACGATGACTGATACGGGCGGTGAAGGAACGATGATATTCGCAATGTCAACTAAGAACTACGAAATATCGGGTTTGACCACTAAGTGTCAGGGAACTGCTCCCCTCTACTTGGATAATGAATAATGCTCGAGGTCAGTCCAATATATATGTAAGTATGTAGAAATGCGGAACCCATAGGCGAAGGTAGCGGCCGATGATTTCAGATCCGAAGTACATGTAAATAAACATGAGGCACTGCGGACTATGGGAAAACATGTAATAGCGCTTGCTACGACGTGAGTAATGTGTGAAATAATGAACTATGCACCTAGTGGGGCTAGCAAGACAGGACAAGACACGGGAAGGACGAGTGCGTGGGAATTTGCATCGGCCGATGCGGCCTAAATGTCGGGTTGGCGGGTTAGCGTCGGATAACATCAGGAAGTGATTAGCATGTGACGGGTATTTGACGTGTATTGTGAAATAGCTCGATACGAGCCCAGCGCCAGCTCGTGTCCTACAACGCGCCCCAAGATACGCATGACCGGTTCCAGAAACTTTAACTTCTTCTCGCTCAGGTACAATTGTTCCCGCTCGAGAATGTTTACCACGGTGCGTACATGCTTTACATGCTCGTCCAGGGTGTCTGAATAAATTATTATATCGCCCAGGTACACATCCATAAATATAACAATGTGCTCCCCGAATAATTGGTTCATCACCACCTGGTAAGTTGCAGGCGCATTGCAATCACCCTGTTGCAGAACGTGACTGACCATGTTCCCGTCAGGTGTGGTCATTGCGGTGCATTTCACGTGCTCTGGGACTACCCAAATTTGCTCATATGCATCCTGTCCATCCATCAACGAACGGTACGGTCTCCGGGCAACCCGGCGCAAGATTCCCTCCATGTCCGGTAAAGGTGATGTCAATTTTCGTGTGTTCTTGTTACGCTCACGGAGATCCATTCTCAACCAGTCCGTCCCCGGCTTTCGTATAAACAGCATGGGGATGGTGTTGCCAGCACTCATCATTTCTCATCTCCCTGATGCCAAGTAAGACCTTCTTTTCTCTGCCCATTGTGGTCTCATAGGCTCAGGGCACCGCGATGGGCGCCAGGGGTATACCTTCTCCTCATCGATGAGTGGGATGGTATGGTTTATTGCCCTCAGAGGAGGTAATGCCGTTTCTGATGCTTTAGTGCACAGGGGACTTGCTAACTCCTTTAACAGCTCCCTTGTACGCTCGATCCCGTCCGCAACTACTTCGGCGGCTCGTGACTCCAGCGTCATGACCCCTTCGCCTCTCATCGGCAGGGGTCACGGGTGTTCCAGTATCACTCGTGGAGGGTTAAACCCCATGGTGATGCTGTGTTGATACAGAAATGGAGTCCCCAGTATTAAGTCATAGTTTTGTAGGTTAATCACATCGAAATATCGTTGATATTTCGCTCCTTGGTACTGAAATTTCACAGTGGTCCCATAATTGACCTTCGAGCGGGATTGTCATATCCCGTATTCCGGACCTACATCCAATAATGTTCCCACACCTCATCTGGACCTTCGGATGCCCTATCCATGTCTCCAGTCCTCTACCCATCCGGATCCCTGCACCTCTGCACACCCACATCCGCGCATCCATGTCCAGATCCCTTTACCTCTGTACATCGGACCTCCATACCTCCGCAGCTAGCCTGCATCATTCATCCTTTGTCCTATTGCCCTAATATCATATCCCGTATATCCACACTTCTTGTCCGGACATCCGGTCCGGTCCGGTCCAATCTGATATACGATAAGCTTCCTAATTCATTTCCTGTGCATATAACGTTAACACAGCCTATTCCTCTATTCGGTATTCCTTGTCCTCGGTATCTCAGTTATACTTACTACCGGTACGCTTACTGATCTGTTAACCTATGCTTCATTTCCGACTCGCGCTTGATAACTTTGCTTATGCTTCATACATAGCCTCGGACGCTTGCTTACTGATCTTTCCATTATTTCCTTAGTATATAAACTCTTGTATATGTCCTGTAGTTCCTCAGTCTGAATATCATATTAGTCCTTGCACTAGATCTCACCCTAAGCCCTCACATCAGTTCTAGTCTATCAACTTAGTCAATATCCATCTCAGGCCTAGGGAGAAATTCCCTAGGCCAGAGCTCCGCTTATCCGATCCTCCGCTCATCCACTTATCCGATCCTCCGAAGTTTCCGGACATTCATCCGAAACTTTCCCGCGGTCCTCCGGACCTATTCTGCTTCGGACTTTGTCCTTGCAGCCTTTCCTCTGTTTGCTTCTACTTAGGACTTGTCCTAAGTAGCCATTACACATATCCATATCAGGACGAAACCTCATCATAATTTCCGGAAGTTCCTCCAGAACTTTCCCGCACTCGTCCGGAAAGTCCTTCCGAACTTTCCTGCGCTTCGGACGTCCTTCGGACGTCCTTGGACTTTCTTCAGACATCATTCTGAAATTAAGGGCACATACTCGGGTAAGGGGCGCAGCGAACGAGCTGAAGCCAAGCCCCTCGGAATCAGTCCTACCCTTTGTGCATGGTCTTAACAGGGATCCTTGGACTGCTAGCTGTATTGTCAATGGTTTCTCCAACGTGGTAAGTCGGAATTTCAGCTGTTCAGCGGTCGTTAGTGACATGAAGTCTGCCAGCAACCCTGTGTCTATCAATGCACATGCCGGCCGCCCATTAACATGGACCACCACCACCACTGGCTTAGGGATTAGTGATGGCCAGGTCCAGTCCTGAACCACGGTTTGAACCCGAACCATTTCGAACCTGACCGAAGTCCAGTTCAAAGTTCGGGCAATAGGGGGAACCGAACCGTCGGTCCAGTCCACGGTTCGAGGACTTGCAGAATTCTCGAACCTGGTTCGAACAGGTCCGAACAGGTTTGAACCGATTGTCAAGTAATAGATAAGGGATGGTACAAAAATTTCGATCTCCAGACTTACATGGGCCAGGCGCAGTGTGGAGTGCATATCTTGTATGAATAAGTCAGGATCATTGAATATGGCCTCATCTCAAATGAAGAGAGGCTCGGACTAGGCACAAAAGGAGGACTATATAGGTAATTAGAATGAGAAATATCATGTGTCAGCAAATACTAATATTGAGCTCAGTCTTCGAATTGAGGGACTGAGGGGAGTTTGTTGCGGAGATGCCAGGATAATCAGAGTGATTGTGTATGTAAAGTAAAATATGTACGACAAATGCGTTTTGATACAAGATACCTAATAACACGTCCCTTTCGATTACCTTATCCTCTCATGTCCGTCCCGCTGAAACCCAAACTACACCCAATCAGAAGCTTTTGAACGGAGACTAATCCAGTCCTGGAGCTGATAGTCCGCTCACAGCGGGAGACAGCATCCGCCGTGGAGGCGCCCCTCCTCCCGGCATCCCACTGCCCAGCATAGAGGAAATCATAGCTCCCAATGGATTATCAGGCTGAGTGCGTGGCGGAGGAATTGCAAAGTACAACATTGCTATCTCCTGTAGTGTCTAAACGGTGCAGTTTGTCTTTAGAAAATCAAGCAAGCAATAATCATTTGACTCACCGTCCGAACCTCTCTGGTCGCTAAGACGCCACCTTTAGATCGTGAGACCTATGTTTGGCGTATACTAAAGGCTATTCACTTAGTGCATGGCAATGGTATCGTGCACGGCGACTTGACAGCAGTAGGGTCCAAAAGGAACAGCGTCAAATCTGTTCTGCTTCCCTGCTGGCTAACTTTCAGGAGTTCTCTCACACTCTGGAAGAGCACGTCGATGGCAGTGTTGTACTGCCCAGACTTGCTGTACCGTGAAGCAAAGGTGCGTGCTTTCTGGTGCGCTTCGTAGGGCTGCCCAGACACGACAAGCGGTAGGATCGCGTTCAGGGCGTGAGAAGATGAACCAGATTGTATATGAAGTTTGACATTTTTTGGGTCCGGTTCTCGGTTCAAACCCTTGCTGAACCGGAACCAGACCATTATCGGACTGAACTGATGGTCCGGTCCACGGTTCTGCTTACTGAGAGAACTGAACTGATGGTCTGGTCCACAGTTCTCTGAATTTCCTAGAGAACTGGACCGAACCGGACCTGTCCATCACTATTAGGGATGGCTCGTGCCATATCCCTTGTCACAGCCGAATTTCGTTGCAAGGCTGGGTATTTCCCTTGGGCGACTTGCACCCTGTATAGTATGCATTCCATGGGTGGGTCCAACCAGATGTTATTGGCCATGCTAGGCGTATGTTGTGGGTTGGGATCGAACAAATGTGTAAGTCCCTCATACTGCGAGTCGTCGCGTTCTAACAAGTCCCTGTTCAGTGCATGTTTTGCTCATTGCACTTGGCACCGGTACCAACGTATTGGGTGCCATTCCCATTCTTTCACCGATGCTCGAGGCACTCGGGTCGTAAAGGCAAGTGCCTTGTCAACCACCTCATATTCCTGCTCATTTATCCTGGTGCAGGTGAACCTGTCCTCGGCTGGCGCAGCCCAATCCTCTTCAGTGGGTTCCACGTACTTGTCATATCCCGCGTTCCGGACCCGGACCTATCACACACATCATTTCCGGAAGTCCGGATCCGGCCGACGTCTATCTATGTCCGGATCCGACCCGCGTCTAACTTCCGTGCCTTATCCCTTTGTACGTTCCTACTCCAGTTAGACTATATCATTTTCCATACCTCATTTCATTTCCGCCTTTATTTTCATCTGTTCTAATTTCCAGGTTCATTTACTATTTTCCGATAGACTAGCGTTTGACTTTTCTATACGCTCCGTCCACAGCTTTGTATAGCTTCGGACTGCGCATCTCTGTTCTCCGATAAGTCCTCAGTAGTATATAAACCCTGTAGAATCTATGTACATCCTTAGTTCGAATATCATCTTAGACTCTGCTCATTCTCTCCTCCATCCGACTTGAGTTTCTCTCTCGTCGACCTCCGCTCGTCTTAGGATCGACTCCTATAGACTTGTCACCTCCGCCTCTACCTCTGGTAGTCCTCCACTGTTTCCTTTCTAGTTCGGACTTCGTCCGGATTAGTTTTATCTCTTGTTTCCGAACGTCCACCGGAATTCCCGCGCATCGGACATCGGACTCCGGACATCGCCCGACGCCCTCCGGACATCGTTCGATAACCCTCGGAAGTTAGGGGCACATACTCGGGTAAGGGGCGCAGCGCACGAGCTGAAGCCAAGCCCTTCGGATCCGACCCTTGAGCACGTTCTTAACAGTACTCGTGTAACCACCACTCGAGTTGCTCCTCTATGGGTCTCCCCATTGGAGGCCTCTTATTGGTACATTTCCGCTCCTGTTGCCAAAGTTTGACCTTGCTGACCTTACACAAGTTTCCCCGGTACATCCAATACGCACGGTCCACTCGATACTCCGGGTCTTCCAGCTTCGACAGGTGAATATGCATACCCTGAATGTACGTTCCCTCATTTGTCTGGTGATGGAAATCCCTAACATAGTACTCTCTGTACTCACATTCATAGACATGGAAACGATCTGGGTCGTCCCAAGTCACCCTGTGACACCAGTCTTTTTCACTGTCATCTCCCAGGTACTTAACACCACTTAGTAAGTCTTCCACCCTGCGAGCTATGGGGTCTCTAAATCGTCAGCTAGGGATAAGGATGCTCTCGTCGTCATTGCTATCTGACTCACTCTGAAGGCCCTTGCTAAGGTCCTCCATGAATATTCCCACTGACCCCACGAACAGGTCCTCTGAAGGTTCAGTCACCTCTGCAAGTCGTCTCATATGTTCGTCATCGTCCTGTGCGATGTGTGGCCCCGAAGCTAGGGATCCCTGGGGGCTTATCCGGTGAGTTAAACTTCATATGAGTGTTCTTGGGGCATTGACGTGACACATGGCCCAATCCACCACAGGTGAAGCACCGTCCTTCAGCCTTTCAGTGTTCCCGTTCATCCGGGCTAAGCCCTTTGTTGGCAGGCCCCCTTTTCATGCTCTTAGGGTTGGCGGACCTCTGTCCTCTCTTCTGACCCTCTGGATCAGAATGTTTGTCCCTGTTCCTCCTTGAAGGTAGCTTGTTCCCTCGGTCCTGGGAGCCTCTGACCAGTGCTGTGGCATTGGCCGTCACTGCAGTCGTGCTTCTTTCCTTTTGTCCAGGACACCTCTCCCTTCCCATAGGAACTGAGTGCACTATTTCGATTATCTTGGCGGCTGCCTGCACTTCCTTAAAGGAAGAGATCTCCGGGTTAAGTTCCTTCTTCCAGAGTTCTCTCTGTATTTTGGCTGACAATCCTGTCCACAGACGAGTTACTCGATCTCTCTCATCAACATCTCCGATCATGTTCCACAGCTCATTGAGCTCGTAGATATAGTCTCTCACAGGTTTGTCATTTTGAAAGCACTTCTTTAACTTTTCGCGTTGCTTAGTCCTAAAATTGATAGGGAAGCAGTAATTAAACATCTCTGTGAAGAACTCGCGGAGTCTCCAACGGTAAGGATCTCCCGATACTTCGCGTATATAAAACTCATGGGCTTTTCCCTTCAGGTAGTGCGATAACATGAACACTCTCTTCTTGGACGTTACTCGTCCATCTTTTACATAGGCAGTTCCTTCGGTTATGAACCAATGAAACGCACGAGAGTCCACGGCGCCATCGTAAGCGGTAGGTGCGATTGGCTTCAGAGTTGTCCTCTTGCTCTTTGACCGTTTTTTAGAGGACTTCTTATGCTGTTTCCGGCTAGTCTCTTCATCCGAGCTGGATGAACTCGAGGATCCCGAAGAGCTTGAGTCTGAGCTGGAGCTGAACGAGTCTGAGCTGTCCCCAGTGCTCCTTTCTCTCCCAAGGCGCCCTAGCGCCTGCCCTATGTATGACTTCGGCGCCACCTGACGCACTGGTTCCATCGCATCAGGTGTGCGTTTTCTTTCCCTTCAACTTGTCTTAGGATTCACAACGTTTTGGACCAATTTTTCTACAGGATTATTAACCCTCTCTTTCGGTCTGCGCTGGTGTGTAGGCTGAACTGGAGGTTGCAGATCTGCTAACACCTCTTTCAGTTTCAGATCATATTCCTTCCTGAGGCAATCCTCAGTACTTTTTACTGCCAGATCGATGGCTCGCTGCTCATGCGCAGCTTGTTCAAATATATCCCGGTACTGTCTGTTGGGTTCTGACCCCCAGTGAGAACCGGCCCTCACCGTATCGATGGAAAACAGCTGAAATATTGATGATCCAGAAACAGAATATTTCCGTAGATGAGCGTAGAGAATGGGACTTATAGTCGATTTTCTAGCAATGCTGTTCGACGGAGATCTCACGAGTTCACACTAATTCTTGCATATGATATTTCCGTCGATTGTCGTAGATTCTTAACTGTAGTTGTACCGCACAATAAAACACATGAAAACGACGCTGATATGCATTGCGAGAACAAACGAATGACAGTGCAAAAATGAAATATCGATAGCTATACTGCCTGCTGCAGCCTGTCCACCTGGTCCTCGCCTGCAGCCCACCAACCTCTGTACCCATGGTGGATGCCGACTAGTGTAGGGTGCCGGAAGAGATCTTGCTGATGATGTCGACTGTATTGCCGTTCCATATATCGTCCTTGACCTGAGAAAAAAAGTAAACAGCTGTATCCGGATGAGTGCGCATTTAGTTGAGTCCGTTACCAGCTTCAGCGCGTCGGATTCATAAGCCTGCAAGACATAAATCAATGATGTGAAACATGTAGCACAGGAGTACGTACCACCTGCTTCTCTTTCGTCAGGCCAGACCAGTAAATCCTGAAATTGGCCGATGAGCCATTTGCAGCGATCTGCTTCAACCATCGGTGTGCGCAGAGTGACCTAAGTCCAAGATTCCAGGTCAAAAGTTGATACAGTGTTCTAGATAGATACGTGACATACCTTCCATTTTTAGATGTACCGGGTTGAAATTTTTTAGCGCTTGCCGCCGACTCGACAGCGGCTGATGCAGCGGGTACAGGCATGTCCTTAGGTGGCAGCGTGGGTGCAGACAACGAGGCAGGCACGTCGGACGGGGTCACTGCAGGATTGGGGACAGTTGATTCGCGTTTTCGCTCAGCAAGCTTCGCACTGCATGTAGTACCCCAGTCAGTGCCAGTTTGAACAAGGTTTTAAAAGACTTACAGAGGGTTCTTGATTACAGGGAAGGAGGTCTAGTACAATACCGTCAGTATTTGTGAACATAATTCAAGCACAGGTTGGCAACTTACCATGGTTCCATATGTTACTTCTACAGGTGTTTCTGTGCCCTCAGTAATACCAGTGCTCGTGTTGACAGTGTCATTGCTATGATTGAGACGGTCTTGAGAGGTGGTACCTGCCGTGTTTGCATGGGATGAAGCTTCTGGAGAGTTGCTCGTGTCATGGGTAGTAATCTGAGTTAGTGAAACACGGGGCACAGGAAGAGACACAGGCCCAGGCTGCGGGGAAGGAGTCGATGCTTCAATAGATGGTGGCTGTTGCGTATCGTTAGACTGCTGCTCCTGCTCGGAAGTGCCGATATCGCTTTTTGAACCATTCTGCAAATTGAGGATGGGAGTCGTGGTAATGTCTTTCAGCACTGGTGTGTCCTGTTTCGCCTGAGACTCGGAGAGAGTAGTAGATTTATCGCCAGTGATTTGAGACTTCGATGCATCAGACTCCGCAGACCCAGATACTTTCCGCCATTTTTATGTTTCACAATCATTGAATCCCGTGTTGTGGACCTTCCTTTTTTTTTTGTCCAGGTGTGTAGCCGTCCATGAGGGATACCGCTCTGTTGCAATCGCATGTACCTTCCATCCGTTTTCGCATAAGGCAAGAATAGGGTGCAAATGTGCCATCTCCTCTGCAACTTCGTCGAGAATCTTGTTTCCGGCCTTGCCCCAGGTATCGGGAGCTCGGTTCTCTTGCTTTAAGGCAGCCCAGCAGCTTCTCAAACTCTTCGTGATGCGAGATACCTCGAACTTTTGGACTGGGTCACCATCTGTATCCTCAAGGAAAGGGAAGGTTCAATTTTCAGTGTACTGCGCTTCGGGTGACTTCTTCCATGTTTCATACAAGCTAGGCGTCCAAAACCTTGTATTTGGGTAGGCACTCTGGCGAAGGGGTTCGGCACGCTTTTGCTCGTGAAATGAGGGCTTGTAGATAGCATGTTTCGCACCAGGTGGGATTCCGGAGAACTTAGCAATGTCCGAGTCACCGACATCAAGGGAAATTGAGGTTGCGAGGATCGTGAAGGCATTTCTGTAGAAATATCAGGTACAGTGATAGATATATGCGAAAAACAAACTTGTATGCATCTTGAGATCCTAATAATGCATTGTTCTGCTGCTTTAGAGTCTTGTTTTCGCTCACCAGAGCTTGAATCTGTTGATGCATGCGCATATATGCAGGAGGATCTGGAAAGTAAGGAGTATTATTCGGTTGAAAGAGATTTGAAAATGGAGGGTTATGATGCTGCATTTGTGGAGTGTCTGGGTGCATAAATTCAGTAACCGGAAAAGTCATAAAGGTCTAAAGGAAATATGTAAATGTCGTAGCTGGAAGAGTTTGTGTTTTGATATTACTGACGTCGCCAATATAGTTATCACGTGCTCACAAAAACATACAGTAAATAGTGATTTCAATGCAAGTGCTATTCATCTGGTACATCATCTTCGACTTCGACACCAGTGAGTGTAACATCGAGCCCAGCTTTCTCTACCATAAAAAATCTGTCTTCGGTGATACCAGAAGGTAGAGTGGGGCGATGCGGAATCATAGCGACAACTGCTGTAATTGTTTTAACATTGATAATTTGTAGGCCATCGTCACCTTCATGAGTGCACGACCATACAGTTCCATGGGAGAAGTCAAGGAGCTGTGCATCTGGTAGTGAGTAAACCGAAAGAAGGGCAACATTTTCCCATCAGAGATGACGCCGCTCATCCATGTTGTATAATTCATCATCGACATCTTCTGGCTCATCGTCCTCTACTGCAAGTTGCGTGAAGTACTGAACTTCCCCGAAACGGTCAATACCATCAACATGGAACTAATATTGAATTGTCAGATAGTCTACATCAGTGGTGGAAATCAGTACCTTGACATTACGAGACATGCGGACATTCTCAGCAAAAGATTCCTTTTCTTTCCAAGCAGAACAGGCAATTTGGCCATTGGGAAGTCGAAGACGTGACCACCATCTGAATTTTGGTGCAGGACGACGAAGGAGATCTGAAATAATAGCAGCTTCAAGACCATGTGCTTGCCGAGGCTTTTTGTCCCAGCCACGAAGTAAAACATATCCATCACCAATATCGAACGAGCCATGTGGGCGCAGATTGTCATTGGTGTCGAACTGCGGGAGGATGGCCTTGAGAGCATTTATCTGGCAGCGAAGAACACAGATCTCTATGAAGTTGGCCATGGCATTGGATGGTTGGCGTAAATAAAACTCAATGTCCCTGATTGTCCGCTCGAGAGGCCATTGGGATGAGCAACTTGGAGCACCAACATGGGTTGCTTCTGGTGCGATGTGATTTGAGAGATGGACACATGGGCGGATAAAATGAATGCGGTCAATGCGACGCTGGTAATACATTTCTTCCAATTCCTGTTCCCATTCGGCAAAGGAAACACATGCATCTATGACTTCTGCAGGTGTGATACGATACTGGCTCATGATGCGAAGTCCACGTACAAACTTGCAATAATGTTGAAAGTATTTGTCGGGGAGGACACCATAGAGCAAACCAGGGCCAATGCCGAAGAGCCAAGTGATAAACTCACGTGATTTGTAGAAGGAATTGATTTTTTCAGCAGGATTTCGAGGGAGAACATCGAAGGAGCCAGGGAGATGTGGGTGGGTAGCAGCAACTGATTTTCCATGAGCCTCCCATACATCGCCAACGAGCACTGCCCAATCCCAGTCTTCAAGAGAATCAGTAACTGGATGACAGTCTGCAACACCCCGCCAAAGATTGGTGTACAGTGATGCCATATTGGCGCCTGAGAAATGCATGATCTCGGAGGAGAAGCACTCAGGTACACCCAAAATATGATCCAGTTCGAGTCCAAGGAGGATGCTGGGACCAACAATACCAGTCTCTAAATGGTTTCTTTCGTATTGGGCTTGAGTACGTGATGCCATAACAATACGGAGATTCTCAGCATAGTGCGTGGAGGTTCCTTGTGGAAGATTGGCAATGTCGATGTCATCATGTGTGCAACCTGCGACAGTGTAATTGTTCGGTTTCAGTAAGACAGGGTAGTATTGAGAGGCGTGTGGCTTGCGTCATCCTTTCAGACCACAGTACATATGGCAGCCGCTCTTTCCTGTGTGCCCAACAAGGCTGCTCATGCAGAGAAGTCCAGGGCCATCGGCGAGTGCAAGAAAAAGAAAGGGATGGGATATGAAGACAGTGTCACTCCAGGCATCCCAAATACGCAGACCTGCTCTTTGGATTGAGGCGAGATGATGAAAGCCTGGGTATAAGAATGATTGGATGTACTTGGGCTTATTGGGACCAGGAATGACGCCACCAGGAAGTACATGTTTTTTCTTGTAACGGCGCTCTGGAGAATGGTCGACAATGATCCAAATATAAATCCAGCAATCGGACATCTTGCTTTCGTAGAGTTGTGCGCCATCGATGGAAATCATCAGAACCATATCTCCTGGTTTGATTCTCCCCACTCTGACTGCGTCAAGATAAGCACTCCCAGTGAGAATATCATCATACGCATCAATGAAGCCATCATTCCGACGGATTTCATCAAATATTTGTTGTGTCCGTTCATTCCTGTATCTCATGCTTCTTGCACTTCCTCGTTCACGCCAAAGTGCCTGTAGCTGTGGACCAATTGGAATGGTCTGGAAAACAGCATGGGGAACTTTTGCACGACCATGACTCCGTTCAAGCCGTTTCTGGTCATAACGTGGTTCGCCGCATGTTGGACAGGCATCAAGGTCAGCCCACGGGCCAACAAAGGCTGCACAGGAATTAATACATCTGTGGTCGATTATGGACTTGATACCGGTGAGGTTTGCAATCATTTTCTTGACGCAGTGAAGGCTTGGGACTTCTAAATCAGGATAACGTTTCTTGACAGCAGCTTGGATATTCGAGTATGCTGCTTCGGATGCATGTTGGAGGGCTAAAAACATCGAGATGGCAAGTTCGTCACATGGATTGTCGATGTGACATGGTGTTTGTGGTGGATTTCGCAGACGCTCTAGATCCTCTCCAGTCAACCCCACTTCGTCATCGAGAGATGCTTGTTGGAGAGCACAGACAAACTCCATGTCACATTGAAGGTGCGGAAGTCGAGCAGACTGCAGGAGCTGATCAAAGTCAAGTGCTTTCAGAGGGTTTTGCCATGGTGGAGCAGGAGGTTCTGGGGGAAAGGGACGGTCTTCAGCTCGAGGAGGCGGTAAAGGTGGGTGAGGTTCATTGTCTGGGGGCGGCACATCTGGAGGTGGGTGGAGTTCATTGTCTGGGGGCGGCACATCTGGAGGTGGGTGAAGTTCATTGTCTGGGGGCATACGAGGCACATCTGGAGGTGGGTGAAGTTCATCATCTGGGGGCATACGAGGCACATCTGGAGGCACCTGGTCCAGAGGGAGGTGAGAGTCATCAGGTGGAAAATCTTCGAGATCCACCTGAGAAATAAGGTCACTATCTGACTCTAGCATTAGTAGACAATCAAATTTAAATATACCTCTGCATTGTCACGCATACGTTTTCGAGGTGGCCCGGGGTGATCCAAATTATCAAAGTCATCATCTAGTTGCTTCGATGAAGATGGGCCGGCTGGCAGAGCTACTGATGCTTGAAACATGTCTGAAAGACGTGCTGCTCATATTGCAGTTTTTTCATCTTCAGTGGGAGCCTTTTGCAGGTGCCGGTACCATGCAGATCGAGAGTGTAGCTGTCTCCGCAATCCATGGCAATAGAGCTGGCAGACACACCAGTACTCGGTACTGTTTTCCTCCCTTGGCGGCATAAGTATTGATTGGACACAAAGACTTTGACGGATGAACTTGACTGGATCAATGCGTATGATAGCAACTGATAGCAGACTTTTTTTTTTTATCAGCAACATATTTTCATTACAATGGTGTGCAGCGACAACAAATAGCTATTAGTACAGTGCAGTGTAGTTTATAATACGATCAAGATGCAAATGCGAAAATGAAACTGCAATGAAACACATGCGAAAGGCTGAGTAGCAAAACAGATATGAGAGCTGCAAAGAATATTCTAAGAGTTCGTTTTGTCGGCTGCAACAGCGGCAGGAATGGCTTTGACCATCTGAAACATGTTGGTTTGTTCGTTCTTCTCAATATCTCTGAGAGTGTGCCGACTCGGAGAGCGGACAGGCGGCCATGATTTGTCTGAGTTGCCGAATTTGTGTTTGAAAGTGACATGGGCAGGAACAGCTGGAGGGTTACAAATTCCTACCAATCGTACAGGATTCGCATGGAATGAGGTACTGCTGTAGATATGTTTCACATCAATGTAAGAATTAAACAAACAAAAGTGTTCTTACTCGGAACTCGTAGACGTTATTTTGAGAGCTGCAAGATCTTCCACAATTTTGTTTGCATCGATAACTGAGTCACTGTGAATAAGTTAGTAGGTACATGGAATGAGAACATTTGAAATACTTACATCTTGACTTTCTTGTTCTTGTGAGCCCTCTTCCGTCCGTTGCTTGGAAACAATAATTCAGCTTCACTGTCAGTAGATTCTTCGACATGCATGAGTTTGACAGTGTCTTTAAGACGAATGATGAGTTTCTATAGCGAAATTGTTAGCATATAACCAACTGGATATCGGTCTGCTTACCATGGGGCCTGGTTTTTTAGGAGTGAATTTTATTTCGTATGCCGGCCATCCTACAAGGAGATTGTCCACCTCCATAACGATAACATTGTCGCGGACATCTACGCTGTCAGAGCAGTCAACCAGATCAGCCTGAGATGAAGCCATCGTAGTAGTAGTGGTGGTAGTAGTAGTTGAAAGTAAGGACACGTATGTTTATCAAGTTAAAAGTAACACAAACAAGTGATTCGAATTTTGCTGCGTTCACGTCATCTTGATTGATTGATTGATCTATGATATGTCTGCAAATGTGCAAGACATTGACAAAATGATGTGTTTGCTTTGTTTGATCAACACAACATGTGTCAACTTTCTCAATAATATGTTAAATTCACGATTTGTGTAGCTTTGACAATATTTGTAAATATACCTGTCGTTTTCCATCGATACGGTGAGGGCCGGTTCTCACTGGGTCTGACCTCTTATTTGGTCCATGCAAGTCGTCTTCAGAAGACAATTCTGTCTCACTGGCGATTTCCTTCACTGTTTTGAAGGATTCTAGTGTAGCGCGCTGCTCCTCAAGATCCAAATCCTCTTCATCGAGCATTGCGTCCCCCCAGTTCCTGGGATCGACTCCTTTACCTTTGGAAGTCCCCTCACCAAGGTTTGTCCCTCTCATGGCAGGTGTGTTCTGGCTACTAACATCACTTTCACATCTAGCCGAAGTTCTTAATGGCTCCTTAGAGGGCCGTTCGGGTGTCTTGGCCCAGTCTCTCCCCTTACAGGAGACTTGGATCCAAGGACGATCGTCATCGTCCTCATCACTGCTGGTGAGCTCGGGTTCTTTGGCTACGTCACTGTGGACATGCTTGCCCTCACTTTCAGTAAGTCTATTATCATTATCACCGTCTGCCGGACTAAATATTGGCTTAGGCCGTAAGGTAATCTCCTGGGCGACAGTTCTGTCGCTCCCAGGGCTACTCGCACGAACCACCTCGCTGTACGAGCAAGTGGGTCTCAATGTGGACAGACTCTCAGTTTTGGTCCCAGGGGACCCCCCTACTGAGGTCAAAGGGGATTCTACGGGCTCCTGAGTCTTGGCTGCTGTGCCAGGACCCTTCGACGCTTCATGGACTAGAGAGAGCAGATCAACGATAAAATTTCCATAGGCATCTCTCACTGGTGCGTTCTTTTCACTTGCGGGGGTAGAAACTGAGCTAGCTCTAGCGCGAGTGCGCGAGTGCAAATTATATGTTGTCGTGGATGTAGTTTTTGTCATCGTCACGGTTCGGGGACGTGGTTGGCCAGACCAGTCAACGGTAGTGACAAAAGGTTTTGGGGGTTAAGTGCTTGGTTACAAGCGAGTTTAGATGGGGAAGGTTAAAAAATATGTGACGGCAGGTAGAAGTCGTTTGACTTTAGATGGCGGCACAACAAACTTAGAGTCGTCTTTGCAATGTTAACCAGATACCAGTCTAGTGTGATTGAAAGAAAATCTGCGGGCTAAGTACGAAACATGACCTTTATATAATTGTTGAATCGTACTGAGCTTGTGATAAACGGAATATTAGATAAAGCGGAAAATAAACATATGGCCCCGGGAACGACTAGTTACCAGGCCTCGAACCAGTCCATTCGTCGATCACTTGACTCGGTGAAACACAATAGTGGCCGACAACCGCCACAACTAGTCACGGTAGAATCCACATAACTGCTACTGTAATCAAAGTATAGATCTCGAGCTCTTGGCATCTTTGCTTGACTCACAACCACTGAAGTCACGGTGTGTGGGTACATGTATACTAGTAGGTTTAGTACTGACGGGCCATGTGGATAATCAGGCTCAAAGCTAATTTGTTAGCAAGTTCATACCATCTCCCTTGTAGCCACCAGCGCACAGATAGGACACCAATCCACCAAATTATTACAATCAAAGCATTCAGTACCTATGTCATCAATAGACTCCAGGAAGTAATCTATATTTCACTTTCTTCGCCCAATTCGCCCAATCCTCTCCCATAGCACGCTGCAGCATCTTGTCCTCCACTGAACATCGCTTGATGATAGTCAAAGTGCCTATTGTAAGTGTGCAGAGGATGACCACTGCTGATACTTTCATGTAAGGCAGTTGTAGAATGCCAGACTGCCTCATCCATGACCTTTCGCTCCCATGCATCATGACCAACCCGACATTTTGGAGAAGCACACCGGTGTAACTTGGGTGACGGACGATAGAATACGGTCCATTTGTCACGATTCTGTGCTCTTCTTTGATGCTGAGCCAGAAGCTCCAGAACTTTCCCAAGGTCGACATGCAATATCGTCTCAACACGCCACCCACCGTGACAAAAAGACTGCCAGCAAGGAGAGCGGGAGTGATTGGCGTGGGGTGAAGTGCATACAAAAGCCGCACAGCGCTAGTATTATAGAGGCCCTCTGGAATCTGCGAAGGACCTATATGCATGGCCAGTACTGTAGAGATATGACACTAACTTCATCACGTGTCACAAGCGGCCGTGAATTGAAGCTATTCAACGTGACTGTCACGGTGATTTTTCATAACTGAAGCTATTTTGTGACATTCAGTAAATTCAATAAAAAACATATAGAGCGCCTCAATGAGACCAAAAGTCGGTGTACATCCTATTCTCAATCCGTCTATGCTTTCCATGCCCACAATCTACCTTTGGAATGCTGAAGTTGCAAGGTGTAGCGGGGGAACTGTCCACATCAGAAAGTTGTCGTGGATGTGAGTGTGAGGGATACATGTTGATAAAGTGATGGAGTTCAAGTTGAGGTTGTGGTCAAGTGCGGCGATGAAATTGGTATCAAGCAGCTGCGTGACAGATAAGGTCTGCAATGGGATGGTTGACCGAATTGATGCTGGAACAGTTAACAACTGTTTGATTTCACATCTAACAGACGATGGAAGGTGGTTCTGCTCGAAAATGCGACCACATTCAAGCCAATCTGAGGTGACAAATGCATCAGTTTCAAGTTGTGGCATGACTGGGAGTGACATTGAAGGTGGACTTACAGTTCCAGTAGGTCCAGCGTTTAAGACCACACCCAGCGTTGCTTGACAGTTGACAGGTGAAACAATGTGCAGCAATAGCGAAGTACCGACAGACTCGGAGATCCACCATTGACGACGGCGACGCAATAGTATGTTACACTTCATCACACCTGACTGAAGCTATTTTGGTCGAGTCACGGGTCACACCAACATTTGAAGCTATGAAGCTAAGTGTAAGATGGTCACGGCTGGATGTGGTTGAAGTTAGTGTCATATCTCTACAGTATGTTGGCCACTTCAACAGATGTTGCTGTCCATACAACAATCTGTCGTATTGTTCACTAATCCATACAGACAAAAAATAGATACGCAGGAGACACACCTTGACCAAGTCTGGAAACTGAAGATCTAGAAGCAGGCCCATGATTGAATCGGATGCTGACACCACCTTCTCTTGAGATGACGGGGGCAGACTCGAGGGAGAAGTCAACGAGATATGCATGCCAATGGCCGAGGCCACGAGGAAGGGGATCTTTAATAGACTCATGCTGTATTGCTGAACCTGTGATAAGCCGTGTTAAATACATCTCCTCCTTTCCTACCTGCTACACGGCAGTAGTGAGTCTTGAGTCCCCTATTACCGCTCCAAAGAGCTTCGGGTCCCCGAGTTCCCGAAAACAATTTATGTAAAGGAGTCGTAAGTCTTGGAAACATTCTTACGATACGTTGCATGTACCTTACTTTCGGGAACTTTTTAAGCCGGGTAACTGAGAGCTATATATAAGCGAAAAAGCCCCCACATTCAAGTGCCATACCCCCAGCAACATATTGCAGCTATGGTGCGGGGCTGCCATCGACACAACACCCCTCCTGGTCAGCATCCTGATTCCGCGCTCGTCATCCCATTGAGTCATTCTCTTCGCACTAGATTTATATATGTTTGATCTATTTTATTGCATATTACATATCATAGTGTTAGACTTTTTTTTGAATACAATGACATTGTCGACTCAAGCATTGACTGTAGGGACATACACCGAAGAAGTTCAAATGCTTAGTGGGAAGCGGATTGCGGGACTGAGCCCTCTCAGCATACAGTTCCGGAACGGAACCCTGTCAATCAAGGACTGCTTATTCAACCTGACTGAGAGGGTCAATGCATAAGTTTATACATAAACACTGCCAGACAAGACGAGTGTGCTTATTTGTGATGTGTCTGATGTGTAAGTATCAAAGAAAGAGCATCAAGGCTGAACGTTCCAACAGCGCCAGCGGATGGACTGCATACTGAACAAGATGTATTGGGTGCTTTCAAAACACCAAAGTAGTCCATAGTGAGTCACTACATAATCAAACTAATATGAGGCCTTCGAGTGTCCATCTATCTGTATGTACTATAAAATAAGTATCACAATGAAGCTTCTAACTAATGCAAATCTTCCGCTCCCTGCAGAGTACCTAACAACAATTAATCATAACGAGCACGCCGCATATTATACACTACTGCTAGTTGACACATGCACGCGCTCCTGGAAAGCAATTGAAGTCATGCTGTTTTCTGCATCGGAGTCGGCCACGAGCTTCGCGTGATGTTCTCGTACATCAAGAATCAGACGTGGTCCTAGCACAAATAATCGCAGGACCGTGGATAATGAAGAAACACCATAATAAAGCTGATATCTCAGGGTATATAAGTCCTGTCGAGATGATGAACGTGCTTCAATGCTGAGGTCGCTAACAAATGGACATACCGCTACGACCTCGGGGAATAAATAACCGAGCTCGAAGCAGGAAGCAACAAGAAAGCTAATATGCGCGAACCTTCAGGAGACAATGAGAACCAAAAATTGCCATTATGAGCTCACCTCGCAAAGTAAACAATGTGACTTTTCACTAACACCGTAAAATAGTCTCCGACAATACCTCCTGTCGAGTATCGTCGCAATTCACGGAAATGCTTTACAGCAATCCGGACTACAAAACACAACGCGACGATTTCCCATGCTGTAGTACCAAGTATTATCCAAGTGCCGGTAGACAGAAATTGGCCGTCTATAGGGTGAAAAATGCACTGATAGGTGCCAGAAAGTATGAAGTCCTCTGTTATTCGTCAATAAGCTTGATGCTGTTCGTCTATAATTAAGCTTACCCTCTGAAATGTGCATTCCTGTTATCGCGATGAGCACTCCGACGGCGATGCAGATAGCTAGGAAAATGGCAATGAGAATTATCAGCACCTTTCTGGATCGCTGATACATGGCATGTAATCGAGTGATCATGATGACTTGTGTAATGGTTCAGTGAGGTCAATGTTACATATTGCAGCTGCGTAACTCACCACCCAGCATTACATTTGCGACAAAAGTCATCCAAATCATTGCAGCAGATATAGTCTGACCTGACCAATGCAGCTCGGGATCAGCTACAAAGAATCATGAGTTCGAAACAAGCTCACAGCTGTGGCAGTCATTATGTTGAACCAAAAATTCAGTCAAAAATCCCACTCACTTCTACATGGGAGCGCAGTCAATTGAATGGGAATTGCAGACATTAGCGCAGAGAACTCACTATATATATATGCGAGATTGTCTGAACATTGACTGTACGCTGCCGGTCAGAGGAAAGGCACACAGCGTATGCGAGAAGACACACCCGGAATCTGGACGCTGAATGCGAGAGATGGGTGATTAGCACAAACACCAAATTTTAGCACTCTGAACATACACAGCATATAATATTCCAACGTAGCGCACCTAGGATATTATCAAGTCAGCACGACCCGCCAAGCACAGGTGTGGCACAAACTACATACACTCAGATACAGGACGGTCATAAGGGAGAAACGTTGCCTCTGTTACAGATTAATTGTAATTGTATCGTGGTATGTTCTCGTGGCTTGGGACTGCGCTCACCCACACCAGTTCGATCTGTAGGAATCTTTTTGAGTAAGATAGCTCCTCCCGTCATAGCATTAGCCTACCTCTTGTCCAAAAGTCAGTGCTGCGGAGAATATAAGGACACAAGCAGTTCTAAAATACTATCCTGCTCACCCCAATCATATATCACCCCAGCGGAGGAAGCAACTGCGAAACCCGAGCCAATGTTAGATTGAGACATCATGGTAGTCATCCAGCTCTTCACGAACCTATAACACAGCTAGAAATGCGACTCGAATCAATGAATGGCCACCAACTTGGATCACTTGAGACTAGGCTCATGCTGTTTGAGAACTTCGGGTGAGCCTGAGAGCGCAGGCGGCGCGGGGCGAACTTCAAGGTGGATGTATCATGACTAGGGTGTTTATGCCACATATACTACCATCCAAGGCTTTTACGAAATCAGTATTGTCATTGACGAAAGAGGCTGTTTGAGACTAACTAGGGCTGCTCAATTCTAGGGCTCAGTGGCGCGGAACGTTGAACTCAGAACGCCAGTGACATGTAGGGTGCTAATTCATTCAGTTTGCGTTCACTTGGATTCAAGCACCGCTAAGCGTGTATGTGTAAGTCTAATACTAGTATTCCTTTTCCTTGTCGTCAACCGCAATGACAGCCATGACAGCCTCCCTTAAGCTTTCACCATCGGCCGCATCACAGACACTCAAACCATATCCCTGATGCTGTCAATGTCTCAACCAGGACTTCCCACATTCAAGTGCCACACCCCCAGCAACATCTTGTAGCTATGGTGCGGGGCTGCCATCGACGCAACCCCCGTGCCTCCCACCGCTTCCCACTACACACCAACACACCCAACCAAGACCCCTCCCCACCCTTCTGTTGCCTCCGTTGTCTCACACACCCAACCAAGACCTTCCTCCTCGCGCTAACCGGTGCTGCCGCCACGACTGACTACCACAGTCTCCTGATTTCCACTTTTGACCTCCTGCACCTTCCTGTCGCCTTTGCGCGGTTGCTTGCTCCTCGACTTTTACTTCCACAACACCCACGCTCCTAGGGCAACATCATCTGCAACCTCTCATTGCCCTGGTACGCCAACACAAACCCTTCCTCGCCCTTCGATGAACCTGGTGTTGCACACCCGACCACGACCTTTCTCGTGCTACTGCTAACCTGGCGCTGCTTACTTGAAAGTCTGAATATCGACTAATATCTGAGTCTCACCGGTTTACTGATGGTAGACCAGGAGGAGCAAGAAGATTAGATGTCGAGAGGTATGCTTGAAGAGGGTTTACTGACAGGTAAGTTATCTGTTTGCTCTGCGTGGTCCTCTCTAATGTTTCGCTTTTCCGATGGCACCATACTCAGAATCTAACCCCGTTGAGAGACTGATACCTGGGCCAGCAAGATTATCGAGACGCTCGTTCGATACACTTAGGCCTGATGCCTAGATCAATGAACTACTTGGTTTCACTGATAGAACCATGATCAGCTGATAATGAGGACTTCGTAGCATCGGGATGTGTTAACACTTAAAACAATCAACTAGCCTTCAGATATTCGTCACTTCTAGTGCGACTTATATCATCGAATCACGATGATGCTCATTTCGACCACATATAAATGCGCTGGATATATCCAGCACGAAACCACCAAGTCTGCTGTTCTCTCACATCCATCCTCGAATCAACTCTATCACATCATGGTTGACAGGCTCGTAAGTCGGCTTCTTGACCTGAGTCTTTCGAGTGCGCGTCTTGGCTTGGTCGGCGATACTAAACACAGGATAGACCTCCTCGATGAGATCTGAAACCGCAGATGGTGTAGCTGGTGGGCGGATGGATGCTGTCTACAGCCAAGGTGCTGGCTGTGATTGCAGATGCAGAGCCGATGAGTGAGCCAGAGGAACGAAGTTCATCGTCTTTGATGAAGTCATCATATATGGTACTGGTAGCTCGAGACTTTCGCGGCACAGGACGTAGGCGCGGTTTAGACTTGGGTACAGGTGTTCCCGCGCCACGAGGAAGTAACAAAGAAGGATTTGGTGGTTCACGTTAACCCCCGATCGCGAAAGTGGGACTTTAGCATCACCAGCACTACAAATATCATTACTTCTCAGATCGGATTCATCGCCACAGCATGGCCAGAAATCGGGAATCTATCTACTGATATCCGAATCGTCGCATCCACGTCAACACCTCAGAACAAGTTATTGTACCTCCGAATCTCGTCCTCGTCTACTTGCGAAGAGTTATGAAACACTTTAGGCACAGCCCAACCTAGCCACAAACGGAGCCTCCAGGGAACGATCAATTTTCTATATAAGGAGTACGAGAACCGGCAACTGCATTGCACATCTATGTGGAGTGCACAAATATTTACCTTGCCCTTATTGATAGTTCGGTTACCAAATTATAGTGAGCACGGCGTACATATAGCGCGAATGTCACCGCTATACATTTATACCAGGTTACCCACACCCATTCTCTAACAACATGACGATGGTCTCAAATGATCCCACGTGGTGGCCGTCCATCGATGTACATCGTTTTGCCAGCTATTTTGCAGGTTCGTGGAGAGCAGTGGGATGCTGAAGCTGATGTCTCATTGGCTACGGTTTTGCAGTTGCCGCCTTCGTTGTAATAACATATGATTGGGGTGAGCATGATAACATTACAGGACTGTTGAAACGTTGATGTCTCACAAGTATTTTTCAGCACTAACATTTGGACAAGAGGTATGTCAATACTATCACCAGAACCCGTCTTGCTAATAATCCTTTTGTAGGTCGAATTGGTCTGGGTGAGTACAGTCTCATGCCAGAGGAACATACATGAAAGTACACTTAATTACAGAGACAACGGTGGTCGCTCATGACAGTGCTGTATCTCAGTGTATGTAGCTTGTTTGTCGTGAGTAAAATTTGGGCTGACTTGAAAGTATACTAGGTGCGCTACCTTGGAATCCTATCTGCTGCATATGTTCCGAAGGCTAAACAATCGGTGTTGTGCTAATCGTCTATCTCTTATAATCAGTATGTCCATGGTTGGTGTGTCCTTAGTACATTCACTGTCATCTCTTCTTCTGACCAACGGCATCAGTCGGTGTTCCGACCATCTCGTTGACAGACACAGTGAGTCTTCTGTACAAACGCCTGCCATTCCCCTCAAATTAACCGTGGTGTTCTGTAGCAGTGGGTGTGGTTCTTTGCTGACTTCTCAGTCCACTGATGTCTGCCACGCTATAATACCAAAGATGTGAGTCTGTTTGGAGTGTGTGCTACCTGAGACTGGTCGCTGATCGGATTTGTCAGGCTGGATGATGTACACGATATGGGTTTGGTCGATTTTTGTGGTATTTGCGATGCTGTGGGGTGAGCTTTGCACTTGCGAGACCTCGGTGATATTGCAATGACTGAAACATGCAGCAAGTCATCATCATCACTCGGTTGCATGCCATGTATCAACAAGACAGAAAGATCCTGATATTTCTCATTGTCACCTTCCTGGCGATCAACACATTTGATGGAGTGGCAACCGTAATGTCAACAATGCATACTTCAGGAGGTACGCTTAATTATGGATGGAAACGAACGTGCATAGGGCTCATTGATGGATACCAGAGGAACTCATTCTCTCCGGCACCTACCAGTGCACGATTAGCTATACAGGAGATGTCCTGGTTCTGGATTCCGCTATTTGGATACTCTACATTGTGTGGGAGGTCCTCGCACTATGTCTTGCAGTCTGGATTGCGGTAAAACACTTCCATGAACTGCGATTACATCCGGCAGGAGGGATTATCGGGGACTGTTTTACGGTGTTGATGAAAACTCATTTGCTTTACTTTGCGAGGTAAGTTCATATCGTAATTATTGTCCTTTTTTCCACTGAAGGGCCGGACATGATAGCTTTGTTGCTCTCTCTTGCTTCGACCTCATTATTGAATTCTCTCCAACATTTTCAATGGTATGGCAATCTTTCACTTACCCCTACATGTGACCACGATATATCATTTCTATAGAGCCAATATCTCCTAGAAGATCAGACTTTGTCTGGCTTGTTTCAGATTTTGGAGGTCGCGCAGATGTTCGTGTTAGGACCACGGCTGATCCTTGGCGTTCGAGAATATAATGCTAAACTAGTGACCGACTCCGACGCAGCAACCGGCATGACCTCAATCGCTTTCCAAGAGCGCTTGCATATATCGACTGGCAGTAGCATGTAATGCTCGGTGAAGTTGTCTGCTCTGCAGGGAGCACGGAAAATTTGTTGGTTTATCTCCATTCCAAGCCTGGTTGTCGTACTTAAGTAGTTGTTTAGTGTCACGAAGTAGATTTAAATTAAGGGGACGTAGGTTTGGGCAATATAATGTCAGGAGCAAGGCGGGATTCTTTGGAACGTCAAGCTCGAATCAGCGGGCGCGCAGCCTCAATCCGCGCGGGCCAGACACGGTCGTGGTACTACCATATCTGCTAATCCATTCAGTTTGCGTTCACTTGGATTCAAGCACCGCTAAGCGTGTACACGTGTAAGTCTAATACTAGTATCCCTTTTCCTTGTACATCGTCAACCGCAATGACAGCCATGACAGCCTCCCTTTCACCATCGGCCGCACGCATGTGTAACTTAACTTTCACAGACACTCAAACCATATCCCTGATGCTGTCAATGTCTCAACCAGGACTTCCCACATTCAAGTGCCACACCCCCAGCAACATCTTGTAGCTATGGTGCGGGGCTGCCATCCACGCAACACCCCTGCCTCCCACCGCTTCCCACTACACACCAACACACCCAACCAAGACCCCCCCACCCTTCCACTTTGACCTCCTGCACCTTCCTGTCACCTTTGCGCGGTTGCTTGCTCCTTGACTTTTACTTTCACAACACCCACGCTCCTAGGGCAACATCATCTGCAGCCTCTCATTGCCCTGGTACGCCAACACAAACCCTTCCTCGCCCTTCGATGAACCTGGTGTTGCACACCCGACCACGACCTTTCTCGTGCTACCGCTAACCTGGCGCTGTCGCCGCGACCTACCTCACTTCGACCTTCCACACCTTGTCATTCTTGGTGCCTTGTAAAGCCGCCCGCGATATCTCGTTCTTTCATGGTCGGCATCCTGATTCCGCGCTCCTCATCCCGTTGAGTCGTTCTCTTCACATTGAATTTATATACATTTGATCTATTTTATTGCATGTTACATATAATATAGTTGGACTTGTTTTCAATACAACGACATTGTAAACTTGAGCATTGGTTGGAATTGAGTGTAGGGATATACACCGAAGGAGTATGAACTTGAGTCGAAAGCTAGCTAGTTCAAACGCTTGGTGGGAAGCGGATTGTGGGACTGAGCCCTCTCGGCATACGGTTCCAGAAGCAGAAGATTGGAACGCTGCCAATCAAGGACTGCTTGTTCAACCTGACTGAGATGCCTAGAGCGCTATGTTTTCCACAACTTTCGCGATCCTCGACTCACTGGTTGGTATGCTCATCCGGGGTATGTTCATAACACATTAACATGATAGATTGCGCAGTCCACTGATTGCTTGGACAGTCAGGTTACTCCCACTCCCGTGCTTAGGTTTCCACGAACGGGAAACGCTTCTTTCTGCGTAATTTTTGATTCCCTAGCTGATGAAACACCCTTCTCTCACCACGTCATATCTTGACTTTCTCGCGACTCCTGTTGTCAAGTGTTCTAGGCAATGCAGTGTTATAGCGGGGGTCATAATCCATAAGTTTATATATAAACATTACCAGACACGACGAGTGTATGCTTATTTGTGATGTGTCCGATGTGTGTATCGAAGAAAAAACGTCACCGCTGCACAGAGCCAGCGGACGAACTGCATACTCAACAAAATGTATTGGGTGCTTTCAAAACACCGAAGTAGTCCATAGCGAGTCAGTACATAATCTGACTAATCTGACGTCTTCAAACGTCCATTTATCTGTACTATGCATTGTTGGGACAATGTCCACTCGTATCTTGTGAGTCTTTTCTCGATCATGCATTAGCTACACAATGCTTTAAAGGAGCAACTACTGTAACACTCACACGACATCCGGGGTTGCTGCCATGAACGTTGAGAGAGTGAGATCCACTCTATCATTGCCACAAGAAACACGATCCGATCTCCAGAAGTCCCTATGCATTCGCGTGACCATGAGAGATAGAACAACGACTTGAGTCCTGCTGCCGAATGAGTAACTATCGCTTCCTCCAAGCAAGATTAGACAAACTCTGCAATCATGTGCATCACCGAAAACTACTCGCGTTAATGGGGCAGCTTTGAGCGTGCACAGTGACACACCGGAAGGAAGATCGTGGCCAGGATGACGCCAAGAGAGAAAGCTGTGCCATTTAGCAAGTAAATATACATCTGAATGATTTGGGTACGAACCAAAGCTGCAGCTAAAATACAATAAATTATGATGCACGAGACCCCGCACAAGACGATTTTCGATGTTCCAGCCACCATGACTCTTGAAGGTGCGGTACAGCACGCACACCAATGTGTCTGAAAGAGTATGCATGGAAAGGCATGCGGTTAGTTCGAGTTCATATTTGAGTTCCAGCTCCAAATACCGACCCAACCCGCCAACAACTAACAAGCAATACACGACAATCACTGTAGACCTTTCCTTCGTATTTGCATATTCAATACCTCCAGGAATCAAGCATTCTCCTATATTCATGGATCAGAGATTTGAGCAGGTAAAGTTCTGAGAGATCTACTCACCCATTGACGGGATAAATTCTTGAAAGAAGAAAACGAATATTGGGATTAAATAAACCTGCGGGTGATGAGTTAGACATATTAGCTAGAGTCGGCAGCCTCCTGGTACGAGTCTTACCATCATATTGATGATTTTTAATACCACGAACCTTTTATCCCGCTCCCATACTGCCATCGTTCTGAGCATGAAGATCCCTAGACCATCAGGGATTCGTGCAGATGTCAGAACGCATAATCGACAATGACTGAATTGGATCTGTAAACTCACACTCTGCGGAAAACATCGACAGAAATCCCGCAACTGATGAGGTGTTGGACGCAGAGTCAGTATGTGTCAAGGTAAACCATCGTTAGACCCACCTATATTTATTATATATATCCAGCGACAAAGCTATGACGGGGGTATGAGTTAAATTCACATGTTCGCAACATTTGACCATACAGTGTATGAGCCACTAGGCAGAAAAGTCACTGCATGACACGCATTACACCCTGAGGACGATGTGAAGGTGCAAATCTGATGCTCACCAAGCATGTTCAGTAGCACGAAGACAGATGGAGAGAGACTGCAGGCAAGATAAAACACCGTGCCGAGCCCGTACCGAGAATCGAGAATGAAAGCGACCTGCATCAACTATAGTTCAGAGTGTATACTATAGGGCGTTCAAGTAAATTTCACTTGCCGAGTCAGGCATGCAAAGTATGCAGTCATACATCTTGATGTTAAAGCAAACGATGAATTATCGCAAGGTCATGAAATTCTATAGCTCACCCAAAGCGATGTTAATGCAGCTATCAGGATAAGGAACATAGATCAACGAAAGCAACTAATTTGATGAACGACACCCGCACCATAATAGTACTGGGACGAGAGATTGGTGATCCAGGATCAATCCAGGATTGCCTCGATTACAGAAGTTGTACTCACCTTTGACCACAAGAGCACGTCAGCTTGAGACACTTGCAAAATCGTCATACTGGTTGATGGCGATAGTTCGCTCAGCTATGGGTCCTTTATAAGATGGGGGATCCAGGCGATGCAGTATCCCGTGGACACTAGCAAAGACATTAATAAGGGAAATGGTGATCGTGTCTTATTACAACTTGCACCATTTGGCATATAATCTTATCATCGTGTGGTCGCGAGAGTTGCAGCTCCGGTTGCATCAAAACGTGTTACCTGCATAACAAGATACCATCCAGAAGAGGTTTTTTGCCTTGAGCATCACCACGGCGATCATATTCCACGTTCTCCGAAGAAATATTCTGATCCACGCATCGAGAACTATGAGCGATGTAAAGCAAGTTAGACAATGGATACACAAAAGGAGACATGAATTGATCACTGCTCGGAGGGAGCCATTCAACCGTTTACCTCGTAGTAAATAACAACTGAGAGGCACGATGGAAGAGACGTACGAAAATCAAACGGATAGCAAGCACAGGAAACCGCCCATAACGTATCCCCGTATCTCATCATATTATGCTGTCGAAAACGGTGGCATGTACATGCAACAACTGTGAAAGAACAATGTTAAGAGCAGGGCAGGATCGTTGTAAACGTGAAGATCGAAACAATGGGCGCGCAGCCTCAATCCGCACGGGCCAGACATCCGCGACTGCTGCAGATGTAATATTCAAGAATAGAATGAATTGACGTAGGTGAGGGGTTCAAGAAGATGTTGGTGGAGAGTCATATGTCGTCGTCCTGTCGCTACTAGACGAAGGAAATGGATGCAAGCATGCACAAAAAGAGCTGTCATCCACGCACACTTCCAAAACGACCCTCAGGTCCCGCCATGTAAAAAGTTATAGATAGATTCTGGGAATATAATGACAATACTACCACAGGTGAGGGTAGAACACAATGCAGCATGGCAGCATAGCATGGCACCAGCTGCAGTACAGCCTAGTAGGTGCTTCGTCTGCATAGCACTGTTGAGCTGTGATGATGATAACTTACATTTGTACATGCAACCTTCTCGACTCCGAACAAAACACCTACCGCCCCTGCCACCAGCTCGTCTGTCTCGATCATCTGTGCAGTCGAGGTCTTCTTAATGGTACCTGCAGTGAGTGATGAGCGAAATAGCTAAATGAGAAAAATCCTACTGCACATGGGAGTATCTTTGTAATCAAAGTGCAGGTCTTGGCGGCTGCATCTTTGCTTGACTTACAACCACGCCCTCTGCATGCAACCACGATCCCTCATTTCTATAGGATCAAAAATTCAGACTTTATTGCTTGTTTCAGATCTTGTCGTGCAGATGTTTGTGCTGGGAGTCCGGACCATGCCTGATTCTTGCTGTTCGAGAATATAACGCTAAGCTCCTGGCCGATTCCGACATAGCTACTGGTATGACCTCAATCGCTTTCTGGGAGCCCGTACATATATCAAGACACTTGTATACAAAACTATCCATCTGGCTCGGACTGCCAGCATTGCATCTCACAATGCAAACAACGGGCATCGTGGTAAGCGTCGCAACTTCAGTATAGATGGCATTACCTTTCTCACTGCTAGCCTTCGTCGAAATCCCACCATGTACTGGACGAGCTATAGCGTGAATTACGGGCACGTTGTGGTACCACCGTATCTGCACAGACACTTCTCCGCACCCTGCACACTGGTAGCCACAATTTTAACTTCAAACTTCAAACTTGAACTCCTTCATGACCATAACTTCGTACGAGTTACAACCATCCTAATAATACAACTATTCTCTTGATCAAATGCCGAGGTTGAGCTCTAGTAGAGCTTCACTCGCTTAGTACTCGTGCTCAGCACTTGCACTCTCCTGGCTTGCATTGGCACCTGCATGTTCTGAGTCAGACCCAGGCGTCGTACAGGAGTACATTCGCAGCGCGACTCACGAGCTGCCGCCTCCGCAGCTGTTCGAGCCGCAGTGCTGAGAAACAGGGACTTCAGTGACCTGTTAACGAAGGTCAAGATAACAATACCGATGATGCAGTGGAAGAAGCAAGGCTCACGGTGTACATGATATTGCGCTGCTGGATAGATTGGTGCGTTCAATGTCTTTGGGGGGTTATCAGGGTAGCTTTTGTTGCCTGTTCATTGACAATGAGAAGACTTTTTATAGCTTTCCTGTGTGTGGTCTCGTTTGTAATGACGTGTCTTTTGTTTTTGCTTTCTTTCTCTCATTTTCCTTGATTTTCCTTCCAGCAGCGTGGTGGCACGATCTATCAGATCGCACGAACACCGCACTTCTTCTTCATATCAAATTTTATGCATCCATGGAGCTATCAGGAGCTACCTGGAGTCATCACCACTCCATCGAGTTGCATCAGCGTGCTGGCATCGTGAACTTGAACCCCAAAAAAATTTCATGAACACTTTACGGCCTGGTCGGAAGGATCTTTCTCGTGATTCCCTAGATGTATGTTTTTTTTTCTTTTTTTTCTTTCGCACTTTATTCAACGCTCGTGATGTAGTTCCCTACTACATCACCATCACCTTCCAATCACTCTCGTGCTTACAGCCCTCTATCGACCCCCTTGCCCTTTTGTCAATCCTATTTGGTCGTCATGAGACAAGGGGAATCAGAAGGCCCAACGACAAACTGTCAAAGTTGTCGATGTTCTGCTCGGACAAGCCGCCTATGTTTGTCTCTACAACGTTGTTACGATCGTGAGAGCTAACCACGTCGTTTTTATTTTCTAGGCCGACGATATCGGTGTAGACGACGGAACACGACAAAGAGGAAGACCGTGTTCTTGATTCGGTCGCTGTGTCTCCTCCTGGGTACGGTCAACCTATTCGTTCATAAAATTCATGCACTGATGCTGTATTTTAGAGTCCAGCACGAGATATTTTTGCTAGTCACAGCCAGGGGCAGAACCATCTCGCCTTGCGGTAGCTAATCACTTGGAGGCGCGATCATCGTCAATATGACATCCGTTGACCATTCAAATATTCATCTGTTGACTTTCGCATTTTACTTGTGGCTTTTATGGCCGCCTTGTATAGAATGACTTGTTTGGGGAGAATAGACGCAGTCGCATCCTCACTAAAGTGCATTGACGAGTAGGTGATATTCAAGTTTGAAATTTGAAAAGGGAGACTTGATATATCTATCGATGATCGATGGACATACGCTCCTTCTCCGCCCATACCAGTATTCCAGATTCGTCCGATCATTTGTGGGCGCAAACTCGAGCTTCTGGATTATGTTTATAACTCTCCAGTAATTCAGCAGGAGTTGTCGACAACAGTGAAACAAGTGGATACCCGGCTTCTTTTCCAGAGGCGTGGGTATCGGTATCATCCGGACAAGCAGCGTACCCCCTTTCCAATGGTTCATCTTGGCAAGAATCACTGACAGGACATCATACACCCACCAGTGTGTCGCACCAATCCAAGTTGGGCTACTTCGTAATTGAAGTACAAGGGAGGTTCTCTGTCACTTTGAATCCCTCGGGCCTAGCACACCAATGCACCCTAAATCTTGGATAAAGGTATTCGAGAGCTGCGCGTTTCTGTTGTCAAGAAGTTCGCTTCTGTTTCTAGGAGTGGCAATGGAATACGCCGTACGTGTTCCAGCTCCTCATTTCTGATTCAGAATCTCCGTACCATTGTCCTCTCACGCCGATTAGCTTACACGACAAATGCAGAAGTTGGTTACAATTTCTACATATGCAACGCTCCACCCGACGTCCTTTAAGCCTAGACCGGTATACGCATTTCCCACAAACAATGTTCTACCGTTCGGGTACTTCCAATTCCTTGTAGACAATGCACGCAAAAAGTCACTGGGCATCAGCGATCTAGTAAATGTGCGCATCTCAGACCTCCGCCAGGATGGCACAGCAAATAGCAGCTGTGGTGGTGCTCGCGGTCGCATTTACCAGTAGCCCGGCGTTCATATCCAAGTATACCATCTTTTACCCAGTGATGATCTCGAAGTTCTATGCGGCGCGATTCGACTTCGAGTAGCTTCGCTGGCATTAACCCGGTTATCTTCGTTCTTCCTTTATCTCATGACTGGCCATGTGGTGTGTGTTATCAATGTGCTGTATATTCACCGAGCTCACGCTATTCCAATGAATACCCGTCTTTGTTCATTGTTCCTGCATTTGACCCTCCACGTAAGTACCACTGCTGTATCGGTCGTATTCGGCTATACAGCGTCGCGCGGGTATCTTTTAGTTATTGATATCTACGATTGCTTGTCCAATTCCGCAATAATTTACTTGGCAGTAAGAGACTCGTCACGATCACGATGGAAATATCAATGACAGATTGGCATCGGATGTATATTCACGCATGAAATCACAGGCTTACTCTGCAGGAGAGACTTGGGAGAGACGTTGGTCAGTACTATGAGATCCAGGAAGCAGAGTTGCGCACCGACTAGGACAACTTTATCCCACAAGTTGGCCTCTTCTACCTTGTAGAGGCAGCAAGAAACAAATCTACGCATCTCTGTGAACGCCGTGGCAGAATACGAGGCTCTTCGGGGAGGGTGCGTACCCGAGATTGGTAAAAATGAATCACCGTGGCTTTCTCATGGGGATTCATTTTACCAACACGGGTGCGCTAGCAAATGCACAAGACATACCTGAGATCTGAGTTAATCTGTTACATCGCATGTTTCGCAGACGATGTCGCAGGTCAACTTGGTGCACGCGCCATTTTCGTCGTATTCGTGCATGGGTCTTGTGAGATCAACCTTTGGATTGTAAGCACGAGGGAAATACTCACTGGGTCTCTTTGACCAGGTCATTGTGGGATGCAACAAGATATGTTGGAGGCGTGGTAAATCAGCGTGGGGTCCGGAGTGATCTATATATAACACGCATCATGGGGTCTAGATCCTGGAACCTGGGCCTGAATATCAAGCAAAGATAACCATTTCACCTCCATCGTGCTCTCTTACTGACTCGCCGTATTATCAACCCAACACCGACAATTCAACAAGAAAAGTGCATATGTATTTCGCTTCTCCTCGATGATAATGCATACAATTTCATAGTACAATCATACATCGACCCAGATCAAACACCGACGCTGGAATAATATACAGCGAGGCCGAGCCCAGCAGTTGCCCGGTAGATCAACGTTGACGTTCAATCAACACTTGCACTCTCCGGCCTTGCATTGGCACCTGAAGTTGTGAATCAGAGTGAGACTCTAGTATTACACAGAGCGCGACTTACGAGGCGCCGCATGAGCAGGTGGTCGAGCCACAGTTGTTGTTGGAAACAGGGACTTCAGTGACCTGCAAACGAAGATAAGATAACGAAATGCGACACAAGAAGACATGGACTTACGGTGAACATGATTGTAGTGGATGGGTTTCAAGGTAGCTTAGGGTTTGGGAGTTTGTCAGTGCGCTCTTATATAGATTCCTTGTGTATGGTCTTGTTGAGCCCAAATCAAGTCATCATCCCGCTCACTTGGCTTCCCGATCAAGCTATCTCTTTCGGTTCTACCATCCATTAAATCGCGCAAGTACCTTATTCGTCCAGCCGCACATCGATATGTACCTCCATCAAAAGCCTCATGACTGCGCAGTGCAATCACATGGAATTGGAAACAAAAATAGTTCATTGCGGCTAAGCTCCTGTACCGTAGACCTTAAAGAGGAAATGAGTTCAACCTCATGGTCAGCTGTATATTTATCAGCGTCCAAGGCTCATCCCCATGTCATATATCTGCCACCTTCAAGCCATTTCGTCACGAGAGACGAACATCTGACGCTGCTCGATATCATGGAGAAACATCTTCCGCAGGCCGAGTTCGCGTTCTTATCGGCTTGTCATGCTGCTGTAGGCGATACCGTTCTATCTCTTCCGACCATCCAAGAATTATCCATCCTGCCCCGCACTGGACTCTTCGGCCCACCTTCACCTGCTAGACGCGTCTCCTTCGCTTTTTGGAATTTGAAGTACATGAGGAGGATGTCGAGGGCCTTGCCGCATGATCAATAAAGCCCGCAATCACCACTCCGCCTATCCAGCGGTCTGAGACTGTATCAGACATTCGCAACTCATTCATGTACTACACCATGCCATCATTCAATTTCGACGTTCAACCTCCCATTCTTGACTCACGCTAACTGGCTTACACGCGTGCACTATTGTCCATGTCTGCGCTCATGAAGCCTGAAAAAGCATGATACCTATATATGCTACAAGACGGCTACACCATATTACGAAAATAAACATCCCATGGTCCATGGTGTTTTCGATACGACGAGGGGTGGGTCACTAGTTGTTCTCGAAGATGAGAAGCAGGAGCAGACAGAAACTTGCAAAGGGTTTAAGCACCTTCAAGTTAAGCGTGATAATCAGGTGCCATATGAACGTCATGCCGCTAGTCGATCGTGGGTTTCGGCTCGTGCTCGTGCTCTCTTCCATCAATCACCGGTTGCTTATCACTTCCTGCTAATGGTTGTCACCGATATCAATAGCAATGACAATGCCCACCCGTCACCCGCGCTCGACATAGCCCTACCGGTATTCTAATAAATGTCAATAACCTCGAGCTTCGTTCCTCCTATTGGGCCATCTAGCAGCAAATAGATCCTATCACCATCCATCCAAACATCCTGCAACAGCCTACTAATCTTCCTATCCGATACTACCTCAACGTAAGGCAGAGCCGTTTCAACCGTCGAGTAGTGGTAGCTTGATTCATCGTCCGACTCGAAATTAGGACCACGTTGGACCGCTACCGTCACAGTAGATCGCTCTTTCACTACTCGTCCTAGACCCCGCCTATTCGTCACGGCCAGCGGGCTAAAGTCCATCATACGCAACTTATAGTAGTCATGTCTCACCTTGTCCGCCAACAAAACTCGATTCCCACTGACATGAGCAATTGACACGTGTGCTTTCTGCTCAAAAATACGAACATGTCTAGGGCCCCAATAATTCCATGGTATCGGCGTTATTACCGTCGCTTCGTCAATGTCAAAGAAAACCTTCGTGGAGATGAGGCAGATCATTGGTTTATCAATCGATGAGGTAAGGCATAGCAGTCTATGTTCAGGGTCTGAGGTGTACACCGACTGAGCTTGCGTCCGCAGCTGTGAGCCATGCATAGGCGGAAGGTAGTGCTCTGTGTCCACCATCGGGAAAGGCAACAGGAAACATGCCAGGAATCGTGGCGTCTCGAGCATATCCTTGATCGAATACAGCTTCAAATTATCGGCGACAACGAGCAACCTGTCGTTGCCGAGAAAACAATAACTAGTGGGGTGGAGAAATGTACTTTGCGTGCTGCTGTTGAGGACACTCTAAATTCAAAATCAACTGTCGATTCTTCCTCAATTTCTGATTCAAGCACAAGACTCACGCTTAATGTTGTCGAGTGCTGCCAGTCCCAAATTTGCAGCTGCCACATAAGGGAAGGCGTCCCAACTCCACGAGTGCAAAATCGACGCGATGAAGCGATATGCCTCCCATAACACTGGAGCCTCACTTGCCGCTCATGTACTACAGGAGACTCCAGAACTAGTGCTGGTCCGGCAGCGTGAGGGTGGACGCAACCATCATCCAGAGTTGCTAGGTAAATGTAGGCCATCTCGCCAACACCATACGTGATGGCGAACAGATTTTGTGCCGGGTCCATCAATACATTCCGCTTCTCCGCCATAGTAAATGGACACAACGTTCTGGGTGACCAGTGGTGTTCGATTGTTCGTTGTGAGAGTATTGAGCTGATGGTGACCAAGTTGTCATGGTAGTTCCACAAGTAGAGATGTTCACCACCGGTGACGTATTTTTGCGCTGCAGCAACCGAGACTGATGGGATAACTGTTTGGAAAGCATAGGCATCAATCTTGAGCCATGCGTGGGCTTTATCCCTCAAGCGTTGTAAGCGCTTGGAAATAGGGGTACGGTCGTCCGTGCTGGAGATGCCGGGGAGCAAACATTGGCCGCTGAGTTCGACGATGTACTGGAGCTCTGAACAGGACAACATTGTATATCTGGTGAAGGCCCTTACATACCTGCGAGAACTAGTGACTCAGCATAGGATTCTGTCTAGGACAACGGCAACAACCCACAGATGTGCAACGAAGAATATCTCTGCAAGAAAGGAAACCTAGAACGTAAACCCAAAGTTCGTCCGCAAGAAACGAGAGTGCTGATTTAGGTTTCATTTTCACGACAAGGCGGTCAACGTTTCGTCCTTGAGAGGTTATCAAGGCGTAAATTTCCAATTGAGCCAGCAACCCCCAGAAAGTCTGGGAATCCGAATTTCCGGCAGTCTCCGTCCGGCTGCGTGCGAGGGAACCTTAAAGTTCGAAAGTTCTGTCCCACCCGTCCGGCCCGTCCCGTCCGTTCTGTCCGGCCTGTCCCATCTGTCCCATCTGTCCCGTCTGTCCCATCTGTCCGCATTGTCCGGCAAACGATGATCCCGTTGAAATGTGTTGCTGATAGTCTTGCAGGTATCCCTGGCCTGTCATTAGAGGTCACATTCATGTTTGCCTCATTGGCAACAGGCCTCAAAGACGATATCATTCTCACACAGCCGGCTATGCACAACATACGCAAGCCACCCTTATTCCTTCCTCCCAGCATTGTTTCTTTTCTCAGTGCTGCCTGCAAATTGCATCTGTGAAGACGTGTTGGAGTGTCCTGAAGAGTAGTATTTGGGCTGGAAATTTTGCTGTTCATGAGAAGATGAAAGATTTATTTGAGATACACGGACACCCTCATGGCCTTAGTGAGTGTTTTTTCAACGTGTATCCATGAAGCTGAATGATATTGCTTCAATAGCACAACACACATTCTATCCGCCATTCAAGATGTGTCCCAATTCTACCTGCGATCGCACACGAAAAGGCTTGTTGCTCGGCAAGGCTGAACAGCGCAAGGCGGTCTATTTTGGCCGCTCTGGTACGGTCCCTGCCTACAGTGTTCAACTGTATTGTGAATGTGAGTGCTACGTCTACTCGACAACATGACTTAATGCAGCCGCTAAATCCCTCTCAGCCTGAAAGACGACTTATCACACAAGCTACAAGGTCACCGGTGACCGACGCATTTACTATGATTACACCACCGCACTGCCAGACATTGTGCAGATTGCGGATCACTACTTTGTTGACTATGGAGTAGTGAGGTTATGGAAGGCCATGATGCACGCTTCCTGGTATGTATGTGCACGTTCTGAATCTGCCCTCACTGACCATACACTTAGTACATCAGCAACCAACTGCGCACACATTTATAACATCGCCCTTGCGAATGTGGAGTCCACGCAGTTCCCAGGCACAAAATGGTTCAGCAAGGACGTGACTATGGACCATGTCTGGAACGCCTTCATCATTTGCACACTGCTTGAAGATTGCCGCGAACGCCATTGTCTCCTCGACGTCGGTCAGACCATTAACCAGAACGAGCACTTCATTGAGGCGATGTCAGACAGGAACCGACGCATGCGGGTCTATAACCAACCGCTTGCTCGTCGGCACTTTTGTGCTAAGTGTACCCGTATTTACAATCATGGTGATATTAGTATGTATACTTCTTGCAATGTTGCTTTGCGCTCACGTTCTTACAGCCAACCAACTGGTCTCTGTCGTTGTGGTGGACGGCGTTGTTGTGAGCCGTCCGTGCTGCTCTGTCCCCAACTGCTGGGTCCATCTCCATACTCCTCAAGACCGCTTTTGTTACGTCCACTCTGCCCGCCTTGAGCAATGTGCAATCAAAGGCTGTGCACGATCTGTCGTGTCAGGTAGCCTCACTTGCGACATCCCCGCACACCAGGAGTCTGAAGCACTGCACACTCTGCGGGGCAAGTCTCAATTCCGTCTACATGAATGCCTCGAGCGTTCACGGGCTATCCACGGGCGTCTTGCAAATGTCCAGGTCGGAGACGACAACGATGGAACGCAAGCGATTGGAGAGGAGGAGTATGACGTGAAATTAGGAAAGAAGAAGAGACTTCGCGCGCAGTTCACCCGCAACTATACTCATTGTGAGGAGTTGATTGTTGCGCCTTGCGGAATGATTTATGCTCATGAGACTATGCACAATGCTGAGGGAGTAGGGAGTGTTGCTGAATTTATTTGCCGTGTCTTCCGGGACCCAGAGACGCGCCCAACACATGTGTTTTTTGATAATAACTGCCAACTCGCGCTGCACGTCCAGAATGACCCATTCTTTCAAGACATCGGCCTTTCCGTCGACGTCTTCCACTTTGAGTGCAAACATTCAAGGCGCCCACCCCTTCATTGACCCTCGCAGCGGCAAGTCCCATCAGGGATATAACTTGCTGATTTAGTGATAAGTGCGGCCAAGTAAACGACGATGTGCCCGACTGGAACTCAAACACATTGGGCTGACCACCATCCTGTGAGTGTGATGGTCAGTGTCTACTGTATAGCAGAGAAGGAGCAACTAACCGTTACCCAGGAATACACAACTGTATGGTACCGTGCACGATTCTGCGCCTCGATCTCGTCAGCATGGTGCTGACGCTGTTCTTCCTCGCGTTTGGATGTTTCTGCTAGCTGCGCTGTGAAGACCTCAGGCATTTGCATATGATAGCGAGGGCCATTCTCCGGGGAGGCACGATTGCGTGCAGGTATAGTTCGAGCCCTTGTCGGCTTCTTTGCTTGCAGGTCATCAGGCGGATGCTCAATGTGAGCCTCAACAACAGGCGCAACACTTGATACGCCATGCAGCTGAGGAGATGGCGAACGCGACAGACGCTCGATGGATGCAGGAATATGGGACTCATCAGCACCAAGGTCGTGTAATGGCAGCCCAGGATCATCTTCGAGCTCCAACCCTTCAGCGCCATTTGGATCGCCAACGTGGTCAAAAAGGTGGCAGCCGCCCAGGTGCCTGCAGTGTTTGCGGCAAGTTGAGCGAGCACAGTTCTTATTGACATGGGTGCTGCTACAGCTCACAACCACGCACACACGGCGCTTTGGCACCGGCAGGTGGGCGCTTCTGGTTCGCTGACGAGTATGAGCATGAGCGACAGGTGCCGGAGAGGATCGTGGCGATCCGAAGTGCACAAAGTTGCACTTCGTACCATCTGGACTAACATCAAAACACTGTATCCCATTAACACATATTGAAATCAAAGAAGATGAAGGAAAGAACTTACAATCGCTTGCCAACGGCCACGGTTTCCATGTTCATTAGATTTGCACACCGTCCACGGACATGGTTTATCGCATGTTGTGCATGACACATCATAAGTGGGACGCGGTGTCTTACTAGGATGTGAAAACAGTAAAATTCACTGATTTTCAGTATCCTACCACGGTCAACAGTTCAGACAAATACCAACAGTCGATAACGTGGTCGTTCGTGGGAAAAAGTGTGTTGAGTTTTCAAAGGAAGTACTCAGTGACTAAAAAAAGGGGGGAAACAGAATCAGTAACTGGCTTGATGCAGTGCTATGATCCTAAAGAAAGTCAATAACTGGTGCGATGCAGTGCTATGACTTCAACGAATACAGATGTATGTCTTATGCAATGATTCTTAGAGCTATAACAATACTCCCTATCTTCACAAACCAATTGGAGATCAAACTAAGCCTCTAACACGGATCAGCCCGAACTAATACGTGGCTTCGAAACCTACTCTCTGCTGCTCAGGCACTACACGATGAGTTTGACGCAGGACAGAACAGAGTACACCCTATTGATGTAGTCTTAAGTGGGCCAAGTTCTTAATATTAGTGACTGACTGTTAGTCTTATTTGTCTTCCTTTGCTAATGAAAATATGTATATTCTCCCCACAGAATTGATTTCCTGTGTCTTGAAAGAGAACTGGAATATATCTGTACTATATGACTGATAACCGTGTACCAGCTAGTGTAAAATGTATGGCTCAATGGTGGCCTCAATTATGCCTCTGTATGTCGTGGGAAACAGTGTCAAAAAGTGGAATGAAATAAGCTAATATTTCACTCAGTGTGTCACTCAGTAATCTTTGAGGTGAGAATTTTAAAAAGAGCCTTATGGTCACTCTTCTTATCTTTCACTCACTCTTTCACTCTCAAACTTAGATGATACTTGGAAAATGGGCTCTGAGATGGGAGCTCTCTTTATTAAAAAGGAAAATGGGCCCCTTATATACTACTCTACTAGTGGCTGTGCTACTGATTACTAATCTACTACTAAAGTGTCAAAGAATGCCATAGAATGTTCCAGATTATTCTACCAAATTCCAGTATTGCTCTCAAATCAACATTTAGTGGCTGTGCTCTGTGGCTATGCTAACCTGTGCTAGCAAGCTGTGTACACTGCCTCTGCACTGCCTGAATGCTGTACTCCAAAGCTGTGTTCAAACTTTGTTGGAATTCTTGCAGTCTGATGTTAACTTGTTAAATACCACAGTGTTGGTCTTGCATATTTGTCATAATGAAGTCTCTGCATGGTTTCCTAATGTGTCACCAAGTCACATGAGTCCGATTATGTAATGAGGTATGAAGTCTTTCAGGTCTTTCCTCTGAGTATTGTGAAAAACGAGAGGCTCGCGTAAAGCGAACATGTTCAAGATGTGACACAAAACATACCAATTATGTAATATGATGTCAGGATATGTCACAAAGTATGTTCCAGAACATGTGAAAATGTGTGAGAAAATTATAGGAAGTGTGAGAAATTGCTGACTAAGTGAAGAATTGTGCGTTTGAAACCGATCTTTCATAAGGATAAGTATTATTCTGAATGTTAAGTAGTGATGCACTCATGTTTGAATCCGAAATTACTCAAATAAAATATGGGTGCTACACAGAAAATTCTAGATAGCATCATGGGCTATTATAAAGAGTACTACAGCTAAATATTTGCCATGCTCATGTACAAAACAAGTTTTGTGCATGTCAGCGGGCCTGTGGGGGGCTGAGCTGCAGTGCGTGGCATTACAAGCGTCTGGACAGAGTACCAGTGTTGGCAGAGTGATAAGATAGAGAGAAAGATGCAGAACGACGAGAGAGAAATGAAACGCAGTGGGTTGATATCGATAAACAGGGCCCTTTTATATTCCTGAGGGCGGGGGAATACTGTGGGCGGGGGCATACTGCCAGAATGCCTGAGGACAGCATGAAAGACGGCTCCAGGCTGCCTGTAGGTTGAGCAGCACCCAAAGGAATTCATATGAACTAGCAGTGAGCAAGGGAGTGCCGGCCTGGAGAGGGAAAAGATTGAACTAACCTTGCCTGAGGGCCTGTTTCCAGCATAGGGTGGAGCAGAAAGTCCGTTGGCATAAACAACGCCAAGCAACGACGAGCAACGAGCAGGGCGTGATGCGCAACTGGCATCCAAAGTCCGAAAGTATATTCCGAAATTTCGGAGAAATTCTGAGGCGTCCTGGATAGCCAAATTTAGAGTGGGACGGACGGCACGGGGCGGACGGGTGGGACGGTCCTTTCCAAATTTCCGGTATATACCTGTGTGCGGGTCTATCCGGATCCGTCTGTGCACAACTTGTCAGTTCTTAATGTCGCATCACACAATGAGCTCATTTTTACGACTCGTTACTGTCTCAAACACATTAATTTAGCAATCTCCCAGCTTCGCCTTGCCTGATGGTTACAGCTTTGTGCAGTTGTAGATATGGTTTGGGCATTTGCCTGTCCTCCTCGTGCACCGGGCTGGCCGGCTTTCTTCCGCTACACTTTTGTGCTCACCTACTACATCAGGAAAATGCAAAATTCATGTAGGCACGTGCTAACTCGTCAAAAAAGTCAAGATGGGCGAGGGCGGTACTCGGGGGCGTGTGCGATCAGCTGACTTCGACAAACTCTATGCATCAACGATCCATCTTGCAGTCGGACATTATCAATCAATTCTCGCCAATACAACAATTTATCCTAATGATATAGAGGCACGCGACTGGTCTGGCCAAGCATGGGCGGCAGCTTGTCGTTCTCAAGGTGTTCGGATTGATTATGATGAGGATGCTTATAAGTTGGTAAGTTTTTTGTTCTGATTGCTATGACTCACTCCAATGATATGTATAGATCACAGAACGTGGCTCTAATTTACGCAGTGACCTCAAGACTGCTCTGCGAGCACTGGTTGAGACAGAGTTTGGTTTCAAAAATGACAAAACTCCAGAGGCCATCAGATTCAATGCAGAGCTCGCATCCACTCTCCTTGGAAATCGCAAGCTCTTCACATGCAAGGTGACCATACACATACATTCTTTGTGTTCAGTGGTGTGAACTGACTATGAACTAACAGAACCGCGAAGCAGGCAAAGGTCTATTTGAAGCGGACATCATCCTCAAGGGCATCACCAAATGGTGCTATGATAGGAAGAACTCGTTGGGTGCCACACTGACAAGCTACTTCAAGGACACTACTACTGGTGGGGCGAGTTTGGGTATCATTGCAGCAGTCCTTACTGGGGTGAGTGTTCGGTGACTAGGCTTGATCTCATGACTAATTGGCTATCATAGATCGAGGCTTGTGTGGTGGAGTGGACCACCGGCACCAAGATTGAATCACGCTTCTACAAAGAGCGCTATGCTGCCATCTTCGAGACTTACTACAAAATGCTAGTCGACTTTGATGAGGGTACGAGACATGCAGACATTTTGCCCAAGATTTGCAAGAGGCTTCTGAAACATGCTTGGTATGTGTTACAGTAACATTTAAACCCCTATATTCATTTCCTTGCTACCTCTAAACGGGCCGTCCGTACCACGCTTATCTCTTATCATGCTTATCTCTTATCTCACCAAGCGGGCTGTCCGCCTCTTTCTGCTTCTATCTTGATAACGCATTTACAAGCTCCGCTTGAACACTGGTATATAAACCTACCTACCCACTGTTGTATTCCTTACTTTAATCTACTGGGTTTTACCTGGAACATTGTCCTTCAGTAAGGTCTCCAACCTTACTGTCTAGAACTACTATTCTAAGGGAGTCAGCAACACTCGCCTTAGCCAGAAACCTTGATCTCTCAATCGAGAGCAGACTTACGTCTATCTAGGCATCCTGCCGATTGTCTACTCAGACAGAGATAGCTCGACTCATCCCAGTCGTAACAAAAGATTAAAGTCTTTATCACCTGAACCGTTGCCATCTGCAACGAAACCGACACCACGACTTCGTTAACTCCCTTAATCGGAGCCTTGAACTTAGGAGCGCTACCAACCATTCCTCCTTTGAACACCATGACGACACAGAACAAAGAAATAGAACTAAAGATCGGTTCCCCTCCCGAATTCGATGGAGACAGAGAAGAATCAAAGAGATTCATGATGAAATGTCATGCATATCTCGACATTAACGACAAAGTTTACGTCGATGATAAGAAGAAGATCATTCTTGTGTTATCCTACATGACGAAAGGAAATGCAGCAGCCTGGGCAGAAGACTTCATGGAAGCAGCCCTAGACCCCAAGAGGAAAGACACCTCCGGACAGATGATCGGTTATGGTACCTGGGCCAAATTTAAAAAGGACTTCGATGAAGCCTTTAAACCCATGGACCCCGCCGGAACCGCTATGACGAAAATACGAGGATTAGAGATGAAAGGAGATCTCCACACCTACATCTCCAACTACAAACTCCTCGCACATCGAGCAGGAATGACCGAACAAGCCCCCCTCATCGAATTCTTTCGACAGGGCCTAGACTACGGGCTTCAGGACAACCTGTACAAAACAGGCGAAACTCTCGATGACTTCGACACCGTTGTCAACTCTTGCATTAATCTCGATAACGCCTTCCAAAGATGGAAAGCTATCAAAAAGAAAGAAAGACCCCAGCAACAGAAAAAGAAGAACTTCGGAAATAGACACTATATTCCAAAAAGGAACGATGACATGGAAGTCGACCGCATAAGCCGTCTCTCAGACGCAGAGTTGAAGAAGCACCTCAAAGAAGGACGATGCTTCAAATGTCACCAAGTAGGACACCGTGCCAACGACACCTCCTTCCACCCAAGAGAAAGAGGACAGATCCGAAGAAACAAAGAAGAAACTAGCAGCGACGACGAAGACGAAAGTCGCGCTTCCTCCTCCAGGAACCCTATCAGAAGGAAGAAAGAAAAAGACGAGGAAGAAACTCCGAGGAGGAAAGCACCGGTCCGAAGGAAAACCATGAAAGAAAAAGCCAAAGAAGTTGAAGAAGAAGAAGACAGCGACTTCACTGAAGTGGAACGTCGCTTCGTGGAGATGGATTTTTAGAAAGGGACACTGCCTCGACGTCAGTAACTCCCACTCATGTACGACTAATACGTTCTATCGGAACCAGAAATGAATTAAGAATTCCTGCATCCATTTTTTCCGATAAACGCGTGCAAACCGTCGAAACATCCATGGTCATCGATTCCGGAGCATCCGGCACTTTTATCAGCGATACCTTCTGTAAAAGGCATAGAATAAAAACCCATAAACTCTCACGACCCTTCCCTGTTATCACCGCCGATGGATCAGACGCCCAAGGAGGACTCATCTCTCGTTACTGCGTACTCACGATCAAAATCGATCAACGAACCATGATCGGGAAGTTCAATGTGGCAAAACTAGCCAAACAAGACAAAATCCTCCTAGGATTCCCCTGGCTTGCTGCACTAAAGCCCCAGATCGATTGGGAAGCCAAAACCGTATCTCTCCCATCAACAAGGAGGTCGCTCACCATAGAAAAAAGCATTGACAGAAAAAGACGCAAGAAGTCGCTCCCGCCACTCTTCAGAAAAGAAAAAGAAGTCAGAAAAGAAACAACCCGAACTTGGACAAATTCCAAACTACGGAAACCGATACAGGTGAAGGTGGCAACTAAAGAAACCATCCCCCCCTATACCGCTTCCGTAGAAGAAATAGTTGATGAAGAAATACCCAACTATGACACAAAGGACGACGTCTGGTCAGAAAACTTCAAAACTCCAGTCACAGATCCACTTGCCTATCAATTAGCCAGTGACGAAGTACTCGTCGAGTATGCCACCGATGGATCCACCGTACGCATCATAGAAGATATAACCTTCGATACCCCACTCGATCGAGACGGAACATCAAAAAGAGAACAAAACTATGGAAAAACAAGTAATAAAGCCCAAGAATTCGCGGTTGCAGGAGAAATAGAAAAGCAAAAGAAAACTTTCGAAGAACTCGTCCCTCACTTCCTCCACCAGTATCAAGACGTTTTTGCCAAGGATGGTCTTAACAAACTCCCGCCGGAAAGACCGGGAGTAGATCATCGTATCGACCTCAAACCAGGATTTGTACCCAAGACGTCAAAAGTCTATCCATTATCAGGAAAAGAACGAGAAGCTGTCAAAACATTTATCGAAGAAAATACTAGAAAAGGTTTTATTGTCCCCTCCAAGTCACCTCAAGCCAGCGGATTCTTTTTTGTAGGAAAGAAGAGCGGAGAACTACGTCCCTGTCAGGATTATCGGTATCTCAACGATTGGACCGTACGAAATCAATATCCCCTCCCCTTGCCAAAATCCCTCATTGAACAACTCTATGACGCTAAGTATTTCACGAAGATCGACATTAGATCAGGGTACAATAACGTAAGGATCCACCCAGAAGATCGATGGAAAGCAGCGTTTACCACTCAAGAAGGACTGTTCGAGCCAACAGTCATGTTTTTTGGATTAACGAATTCCCCCGCAACTTTCCAAGCGTTCATGACCAACGTCTGCCAGAAGCAGATAAACCAAGGATGGCTAGTCATATACATGGACGACCTATTGATCTTCTCAAAGGATCTCCAGCAGCACCAAGCACGGACCATCGAAATCCTCGACATCCTTCGAAAAGAGAAACTATTCGTTAAACCGGAAAAATGCACCTTTGATGCGCGAGAGGTAGAATATCTTGGAATGATGATCCGACCAGGGGAAGTAGGGATGGAACCCGCCAAAGTAGACGGAATCAAACACTGGCCAACCCCGGAGAACCTAAAAGACACACGGTCTTTTCTAGGATTCTGCAATTTCTACCGGACGTTCATTGCTCACTACTCGGATATCGCTCGACCCCTTATCGACCTCACAAAGAAAGACCACCCTTTCGTTTGGACTGACAAGTGTCAGAACGCCTTTGACCACCTTAAAAACGCCTTTTTATCGCAACCAGTCCTAAGAAACCCGGATCCGACTCGCCAATTCGCAATTGCTACCGATGCATCGTTGGCAGCAACCGGAGCAGTGTTGCTGCAGACTGATGAAAATGGAATGTACCATCCATGCGGTTACCTATCCCAATCTCTCAACCCCGCAGAACGGAACTACGAAATCTTTGACAGAGAACTACTGGCAGTCATTAGAGCACTCTCTGAATGGCGCCACTATTTAGAAGGGAGCCCCCACACCGTGATAGTATTCACGGATCATATGAACCTCCTGTACTTCCGCTCCGCCCAAAAGCTGACACGAAGACAGGCACGTTGGCAGCTCGCCCTTTCCAATTATCAGTTAGAGTTGCATCACGTCGCAGGGACCAAATTAGCCGCCCCTGATGCCCTTTCTCGACGCCCCGACCATTCACTCGGGAAAGACGATAACGAAAATCGCATTCTCCTCCCTGATACCATGTTCGTGCGACTAATTGACAATGATTTGTCAGAAAGTATTGCACGCAACTCCGCCAACGATCCCGTCTACCAGAAAGCCCTGGAAGCATTGGACGGAGTATGCCTTCCCCCAATGAAATCCGCCCTCTCAGACTGGACGTGCACCGATGGCGTCCTCTTTTATAAAAATAGAGCTTACGTCCCATCAGCCCAACGACATGACGTGTTATTTAAACACCATGATCATCCCACTGCGGGACATCCCGGACGATTCAAGACGGAAGAACTCGTCAAACGAGATTTTTGGTGGCCAGCCATGGGAACTTACATCCGCAAATACGTCGACGGATGTGCATTATGTCAGCAAATGAAGGCTGACACGCACCCGGTCACTCCGCCGTTGCGACCGATCCCCTCCATCGCCACTCGCCCCTTCTCCCAAGTCTCTGTTGACCTTATCACCGACCTACCTGTATCGGGCGGTTTTGACTCTATCATGATCGTGGTAGACCATGGGCTTACGAAGGGGGTAATTATTTCACCTTGCAATAAAAACATCACCTCCGAAGGAGTAGCCAGACTATTCCTCAAAAACGTGTTCAAAAGATTCGGCCTCCACGAAAAAGTGATCTCAGACAGAGGACCGCAGTTCATTTCGAAATTCTCTCGAGAACTTGCCCGACTACTCGGATATCAGATCGCCGCATCAACCGCCTACCACCCCCAGACAGACGGACAAACAGAACGTCTTAACCAAGAATTGGAAACCTACCTACGGATCTATTGCAGGAATAACCCGTTAGAATGGTCAAATCATCTTCCTATCGCCGAATTCGTCCACAATCATCGGAAACACGATGCCAGGAACACGTCACCATTCTTCCTCATGATGGGCTACGAACCACGTGGGATCCCTCACATCTTATCAGTATCAGACACGCCAGCAGCAGAAGAAAGACTCAGAAACCTACAGAAGATACGTGAAGAAGCACTCGCTTGTCATAACATCGCCATGCAACGAATGGCAGAAAGATCTCGCCATGGGAAATACCGACCATGGAAGATAGGAGATAAGGTATGGCTTACGGCCACCAATCTCCTGACATCTTTACCTTCTAGGAAACTTGCGCCCAAACGATACGGCCCATTCGTTATCACCGCAGTCTTATCTCCTATCACATTTACTCTAAAACTCCCAGACCAGTGGAAAGTTCACCCCACGTTCCATGCTTCCGAACTATCGTCCTATCGCGAAACAGAGATACACGGACCGAACTACACCGAACCTCCACCTGACATTATCAATGGCGAAGAAGAATATGAAATAGAAGCTATTCTTAGCCATAAAGGCACGGGTAAACGAAGACGCTATCTCGTATCATGGATAGGCTACTCTTCCGGAAGCAACGAATGGATACCCGAGGAGAACTTGCGGAGTTCGAAAGAGCTTTTAACAACATATAAGAAGAGGCACAAGCTAAACTGAACGAACCATTCCCCTGTAAACGAAACCCAAGTGACCAATATGCCCTTCCCCGCATCCACCTACACTCTGCCATACCACTCCACCTTCGAAACCTCCGCCCTTGACTCCAATGACGAACGATACGAAACGTACATCACCCAAGCTGAAGACCTCACCCTCATTGAGGCAGCACTTCTCTGCCCCCAACATGCCATTGAGCTCACCAGAGTCCTCTTCGGAAGAAACGCCCACTCCATCAACCTCCTCATCAACATCATTAGAGCCACCGAGATCATCGAACGAGTCTGTCGTCTCGTTGAAGACAACACGGTCCGCCACAGTCTCATGCATATGCAGAGGCGCATACGCAACTTTGCTCTGCGCCTTATTCCTGAAGAAGTTAAAGACGATATTAGAACGGTCATCCACATCGTCTCAGAACAAACCGCAGGGGTTGCGCGCCCACCTTCCCCTATGGGCTCCACCAGAGGAGCCCCTCCTCCCTCATACCAAGACGCTGCTCCTACTCTCTCTTCTCACATTCCTAATGAGTTACTGGCTGCGGTCAATAATCTCGCGCAGACAACGGAAGCCATGTTAGCTTCCCTCAGAGAAGAAAACCGCCAAGCGATCCCCGTACCAGCCCCTACGGTGGAAACTATTGAACACCCTCCCCATCTTTATACTGCGTTCTCTGCTACCCGCGAAGAGATCACTGCCGATCCAAACCAACAACTCTTATCCTATCATGAAGAACAGGACTTGGCCAACGCATTGGCCTCACTCCACATTCATCCCCCGATTATCATTCCGGACTCGTTATCGACGCATACCTTCACGGATGGAATAGTACCCATGCAAGCGTTGGGAAGAACTCAACCTGCCACTCCTGCTGAGCTAATCGCGGAGGCAGAGCAACGAGGTGTAGCCATTAGGCACCCCATGCAACGAACCGATTTAACCAGGAAAAGAACGCGAGCTCGGCGCTCTGGTAAAGATAAAGGAAAGAGACGCGCCACCAGTGCAGATGAAGCACTTAGTCCTAAGCCAGGCCCATCACCCTTACGAGCGACCTCCTCTAATCCTGATGAAAACCGCGTATGCAGATACTGCAAGACGATCGGGCATAGGCAAATTAATTGCTCCGACTACTACTGTCGCGTCTGTCGAGAATTGTCTCCAGGCCATCTTTCATTTTATTGCCCACACTATACTGGAGAAACCCCTACTTCTCTAACCTGGAAGGACGAAGGATTTTACCAGGCACTCGCAGCCTGGGAGAACGACGCCGATGACGCATACGCAGCATTATGCAGGGAAGAAGAAATGCTCTATTCGGAGGAACGCATGAAGGCTGGACCAGAAGACGACTTAGAGTATTCTGACGATCCCATCTACTATGCTAACCAGGATGATTGAATCCGGTGGTTTCAACCCTAGTAAGGGGGTAATGTTACAGTAACATTTAAACCCCTATATTCATTTCCTTGCTACCTCTAAACGGGCCGTCCGTACCACGCTTATCTCTTATCATGCTTATCTCTTATCTCACCAAGCGGGCTGTCCGCCTCTTTCTGCTTCTATCTTGATAACGCATTTACAAGCTCCGCTTGAACACTGGTATATAAACCTACCTACCCACTGTTGTATTCCTTACTTTAATCTACTGGGTTTTACCTGGAACATTGTCCTTCAGTAAGGTCTCCAACCTTACTGTCTAGAACTACTATTCTAAGGGAGTCAGCAACACTCGCCTTAGCCAGAAACCTTGATCTCTCAATCGAGAGCAGACTTACGTCTATCTAGGCATCCTGCCGATTGTCTACTCAGACAGAGATAGCTCGACTCATCCCAGTCGTAACAGTATGTGATCCAACAAGCTTGATATTTGTTACTCCTGCTGATAGACGGACACAGGCGCCATGCAAATGTTCCCAAGGATGCAGTTAGAGTGGGTGGTACATCAGAGAACTTCTCAACTGACGAATTCGCAGCGGCAGTGGCAGAATGGGATGGGCGTGTTGAGTCGGACGACGAGTATTAGCTACTGCAACTAGTTACAGTGTTTGAATGCAATGATATTGGTGCCCGTGTCATTCTATTTTGCATCGCGCGGGAGGATGTGTGATACGAGCGCTACCCGGCCTATCTAGTCCTGTGTATTTGGTGTGTGTACGCTAAATACGCTGCCTACATAGGTCACACAGTGTACAAGTGTGCCTATGGAGTAGCTACATAGTGGGTATTTACCTAACGACATAGACAATCTATGTAGGATACATAGGTCCGCGTAGGTATCGCACAATTTCCTGATGTACCAATAACCGGCTTTCTCATCCTCCATCAAAGGTGCTACATTTCTGTGCTTGCCTGCCAATTGCAATGGACTCAACTGTGAACCTTGCAGATTTGTTGCAGATTCTAAACCATTACATATTTGTACTCGTGACTCACGAAGGTATCTCTGGAATGGTTCGGGCCAAATCTGTGCACTGCGCTGCAGTTCGGATGTTCGTGTAATGTATATATTAGTGTCATACTTTTTTGTTGCTCCTTTGCATACAAATTATAGTGATTTGTGAGCCGGACAGATCCAGCCGGACTTGGCCGGACGGACCCGGAAATTCGAATTCCTAGATGCCCTCGCAACCCCTGACTCAGCTTATATTAGTCGCTGAGCGCTGAGCCCCAGTGAGAACCGGCCCTCACTGTATCGACGGAAAACGGCCGAAATATTGATGAGCCACAGACATAAGATTTCCGTAGATGAGCATAGAGAATGCCACGGTTCGGCTCGGGTCTGCTCAGGCTCGGCATTTACCGATGCGCCGGTAGTTTGGTGATTCTGGTGAGCCGAGTCGCTGATTCACTGTGTGAACTGGTTTGCAGCGTTGGCCAGAGCTAAAGCCAGGAATGTATGAACCACAGCTTCTCACTCCTAGACTTCCCCGTTCTGTACACTGCTTTCCTTCGTTGGTACAGTACAGATATCCAGGACATCGGTTGAAACATCGTCAATGTCAAGACCTATAGCAAATAAATCGAATAAATACTGCGACGAAAATATCGCCTAAACCTATGTCTCCTTGACATCTATTTTGTGACACTAAATAACTACTTGAGCACCGCAACGAGGCTTGGAATAGAAACAAAAAAAACAAATTTCCCGTGCTCCCTGCAAGCACTAGACAACCGTTCGCGCCAACTTCACTGAGCATTACACACTACTGCTAGTCGTTATATGCACACGCTCTTGGAAAGCGATTGAGGTCATGCCGGTTGCTGCATCGGAGTCAGCCACGAGTTTGGCATGATATTCTCGAATGCCAAGGATCAGCCGTGGTCCTAGCACGAACATCTGCACGACGTGAAAAATCTGACTCAAGCCAGACAAAGTCTGATCTTCTAAGAGATATTGGCTCTATAGAAATGATAGATCATGGTCACATGTAGAGGTAAGTGAAAGATCCACATACCGTTGATGATGTTGAAGAGAATTCAATAATGAGCTCGAAGCAAGAGACAGAAAAAAAACTATCATGTCCGACCCTTCAGTGGAAAAAAGGACAATAATCACGATATGAACTTACCTCGCAAAGTAAACCACATGAGTTTTCATCAACACAGTAAAACAGTCCCCGATAATCCCTCCTGCCGCATGTAATCGCAGTTCACAGAAGTGTTTTACCGCAATCCAGACTGCGAGACATAGTGTGAGGACCTCCCACACAATGGAGAGTATCCAAGTAGCAGAATCCAGAACTACGGCATCTCCCGTATAGCCAATCGTGCACTGGTAGGTGCCGGAGAGAATGAATTCCTCTGGTGTCCATCAGTGAGCCCCATGCACGTTCGTTTCCATCCATAATTAAGCGTACCTCCTGAAGCATGCATCGTTGATGTTAAGGCTGCCACTCCATCAAAAGTGTTGATTGCGAGGAAGGTGACAACGAGAAATATCAGGATCTTTCTGGATTGTTGATACATGGCATGCAACCGAGCGATGATGATGACTTGCAGCATGTTTCAGTCAAGTTGAATATTCCTGAGGTCTCGCAAGCGCCAAGCTCACCCCACAGCAGTGCAAATACCAACACACCTATCCAATTCTGTACGATGGATATAATCAAGCCTGACAAATCCAGTCAGTGACCAGCCTCGGATAACCCACACTCCAAAGACTTACATCTGTGGCAGTGTAGTGTGGCAGTTATGAGCGAACCAAGAAGTTGATAGTAAAGAACCAAACCCACTGCTACATGGCACCACGGTTAATTGAAGGGGAATAGCAGACATCTGTGCAGAAGACTCACTGTATATGTCAGCGAGATGGTCGGAACGCTCTCTGCATGCCGCTGGTTAGAAGAAGCAAAGAAAGTGAATATACTAAGGCGACATACCCAGGATACCCATGCTGATTACGAGACATAGATGATTAGCACCACATCGATTGTTTAGCCTTCCGAACCTACACAGCATATAAGATTCCAAGATAGCGCACCTAGAATACTTTCAAGTCAGCACATCCTGATAAATGCGACACTCAAGCTACATACACTGAGGTACAGAACTGTCATTAGGGACCAGTGTTGCCTCTGTAAATAAGTGTATCTTCATGTGAGTTCCCTCTGCCATGAGACTCTGCTCACCCAGATGAGTTCGACCTATAAAAGAATTCTTAGCGAGATGGCTGCTCCGGTCATGGCATCGACATACCTCTTGTCCGAATGTGAGCGCTGAAAATACTTGTAAGATATCAGCAATCCTTTAATATTGTCGTGCTCACACCAATCATACGTCACCCCAACAAAGGCGGCAACTGCGATACCGGAGCCAAGGTTAGATTAAGACATCGAAGCCAGCGCTCAGCTTCAACATCCGATTGCTATCTACGAACCTGGAAAATAGCTGGCAAAACGATATACATCGATGAACGGCCACCACGCGGGATCATTTGAGATTGTTGACATATTGGTAGAGAATGGGTGTGGGTGAGAGGTGAACTTGGTAAACGTATAGCGGTGACATTTGCGCTATATGTACGCCGCGCTCGCTATAGTTTGGTAATCGAAATATCAACAAGATCAAGGTAAATATTTGTGCATAGATCAAGTTGGCGGTTCTTGTGTTAGAAAATCGATGAACTTGTTCCCTGGCTTGAAGCTCCGTCTGTGGCTAGGTTGGGCTGTGCTTAGAGGGTTACATAACTCTTCGCAAGCAGACGAATACGAGATTCGGAGGTACAATAACTCATGTTAACATGGGACAACGCGAAGAAAGGAACGGTACAAGCTTGAAGCTTGAGTTCAGTAGGTGTGGACGTGGACGCGACGGCGATAGTAGATAGATTCCATCTTTGGCAGAAGCAGTGTTGGCACCAAATATGAACACATTTTGTAACACGAATATCACTGATTTCTGACTGCATGCTGTACATGGCGATGAATCATTTGCATTAATCATTAATCAGTACTCAGTACTCAGTATTTGATTGATCTGAGATCTGGTCGACGTCTCCAGCGCAGTGCGATGACGATCACATGGAATTGGAAACAAAAATAGTTCATTGCGGCCAAGCTCCTGTAGGACAGACCTTAAGAGGAAATGAGTTCCTCGCGTCAGCTGTATAACTATCAGCGTCCAAGGCTCATCTCCATGTCATCACATATCTGCCACCCTCAACCCAATGTTGGTTCCCAGCGCAGCCAACAGCACAAAGCAAAGAATAGTCGGTCCGTACTTGTCATAATAAAGCCCTTCCGCCGATCGGGCACGCAGACGAAGCGCTCGGTACACGAAGATGATCGCCGAATAGGCGATCGCGAGCAGCGCAGCCAGAGTGAACAGCGCAGCACTGATCAGGCCCCGTGGATCATCTGCAGGTACGAAGTTCAATAACGTCGTAGCGATAGTGCCGATCAGCACCGCAAAGCTCAGCCATTTCTGCAACGATAAACATCAGCAGACGAACTCCTTCATCTAATGCAAACTAGTCATACCAAGAACGTGCGCTCGTTTGCGAAATACACCTTGGGCTCGATACGAACAGGCACTGCAATTCGCTTGCCAGATGACGCACACCAGTCTCTCACTAATAAACGGTCCTCCTCCCACAGATTTTCCTCGTCCAGCCCTACAGCCTCCTGCACCTCACCATCCTGTACACGCGGCGGCACATTCTTATTCGCCTGTAAACGCTCACGCAGACGCTCATCGAACGCAGAAGACGGCGCAAGCGGGTCAATCGACACATTCCTCTCCGCCCTCGGAGGCTGTGGCAGCTTCAACAATGGCGTGCGTTCATCGTATACCACTTCAGGAGTGCTCCCCCTCGACTGAGATGCAGGTTCACGTTCCTTGAGCGACTTTTCACGAAACGCGATAGCAGCCGCAACGTCCTCATGCGGCAACCCCGTGCGCCGAAACTCGTCTCTAGCAGGCGCCAAGTCCATCTCTTCATCTTCCTCCCCTTCAGAGACAGGCTCAACATAGGAGTGTACCGGCAAAACGGGCGAGATGGACGAGAGAATACCGGACTGAAATTCAGGAGTACTCTTTGTCGGACGCTCGACTGTGAGGTATCCAGTATTGAGCTTGAGGATATCCGTGTCCACTGTGAATGGCGTGAGGCGAGAAAATAAGATGGAAGCAGGCTCTTCAGCTTACTTTGAGGCAGCCAGAACGGCACGAGATCTACGCGATTAGGCAGTGAGGTAGCGCAGCCACGGATGAATTTGCTAGCGGCAGTCCGTGAGTGACATAGAACCACTTTTTTTGTGGGTGAGAATCATACCTGAACTTGGGAACAGCTTCGACAAGATGTGACGGACCAGATCCGTCATCCACTTGGGAGGCTCTTGTCCAAACTGAGTCTGAAGTTTGACTTCTAAAACCCCATACCTTGACGAACGTGAGCATGTTACGAAATGGCTCAATAAGCGAAACACACTTGAAAAGCTCTTTATCCGCCGCTAACACCTGGTCAAAAGGATGGTCGATCCCAATGTCGGTTCGCCGCCAGTTATCGCCAGTACGCGTCTGTCCGTCCCAGTTGTCTTCGCGGACCATGGTGAGTTCCGTATCAAGTGATATCCGTACACGAGGATCTCCTGGGAGCTGGAACGCAGTTCGGTTGTAAAACGTCCTCATGACTAGTATATTTGTAAGTAAAGAAGTCAGACATTGAACGCGCGTACATACCCGGATGGAGCTGTTTCGTTAGAATACGATACTGAACTTCGCTTGCAAGCTGAATCATGGAATCGACTTCGGCTTGTGTCTTCTTGCCTTTCTCAACCAGAGCCTGGTGCTCCGCGTCCATGGTATATTCTCCACGCAGAAAAGCATTCACGAGATTTTCTTTGATCGGGAAACGCGTCTTGACGGACTTTCACCTGTCCAGTCTTCTCTGTGGGTCTTACGCTCCACGAAAATCTGAGGGATGACGTTCAGTGGGCTCCACAAATAAAGTCAAGCACACTGACGGTTTTCACGTCTGTGTCACCGTATCACCGGAGACGGATAGCTTCGGCACCCTCTGTCTTCTCCAGTCGACCGAGGTAAAGTTCAAGATCTTCATTGTCGAAGTATATTGAAGTAATGACTGCAAAAAGCGTCGACAATACATCCTCTGATGATTCAGAATCAAAAACGTACCAGCATCCTTCTGTTCGAATTCCTTTTCGGCATTGAAGACTATAAAGAGAGATAAATCGAAGAAAGTACCAAAATGGTTAGTTAGGGTTAAGGCCAGCAACCCCTCACTCGGCTTATATTAGTACTGAGCGCTGAGCCCCAGTGAGAACCGGCCCTCACCGTATCGACGGAAAACGGCCAAAATATTGATGAGCCACAGACGTAAGATTTCCGTAGATGAGCGTAGACTCGTACTTAGTAGTGCCACGGTTCGGCTCGGGTCTGCTCGGGCTCGGCATTTACCGATGCGCCGGCAGTTTGGTAATTCGCCATCGCCCTCCGGGCATACCTGTACCCTCTTAATATCTTCCTCTGTTGGTCTCTGCCGCTGATATAGACCTCGTTCTCAGCCGCATCAAGCCAAAGACCTCAAATTCAAAGTTATTGTGTTTCAAATACACCTACGCCAGTCGCTACACGGAGATGCGTCATACCCATACGAGTGGACGGCTTTTCAAAGTCGCAATCCCTACAAGCTAAGTCGCTACACGTCAATTTCTTTGTTTCTCTCTCACCAATTATTCGTCGTCAGGCAGCAATCAGGATCTGATTTGCCGACTTTCTCTTGCTTCCTATTTTGCATCCATGACCTCCCAGTCTCGTCAAAGCAAGCTATTCCTGCTGTCTCGTCTGTTATGCCGCTGTTGATGTTCCAGTGGAATGTCCACTCATCCAAAGTGGTTTGAGCAGCATTCACAGCTCTCACATCCAAACGTTCGGAATCACTGGCTGTAATGCGAGCACGACGCTTAGAACTTGCACGATGCGCACGAGACGACGCTTCAAAGGGCTCAGGAAAGCCAGGATTAGATTGATTAGCCCTAGGATACTTTAAGAGCTTAAAGACGACTGCATTAGATATACAGTGCGACTCACACACATGGACGCGAAGCAGATCATGGACATGATCTTTACGATCCGAAGAAGACACATAAATAGAATGAGCGCGTGCAATTTCAGCGTATTGTTCTCTAGTGAATGTCGCGAAATTCTCGACAATCACTCGCAGATTCGGCGCTACTACAGGTAGTAGTGAGCCGACAGGATATTGGTCACACAATGGCACGCAATCCCGAGAAACACCCAGATACCCAAAGTATTTGCACAAAACACATGACGACACCACTGATGTCCCATCGTCTGCGAGCTCGCGATCGGAGATGACGAGTGACACAGGTGGGGGACAAGAGACAATTGGATGGCTGACGGAGGATGAACCAGAAGCCATGAGGACGACAACAACAACAAGAGAGGGGAACAAACGACTCCTGAAGCTGACAAACCCTTGTGGTCCCAAAAAAGGAGGCAGGCACCGGACCGAGTGGAGCCGTGAAGATCGAGTCGACGGAGATTTTTTGTCGGAGACCTGTACCCTCTTTTAGGGTACAGGAATTCTGGTGAGCCGAGTCGCTGATTCACTGTGTGAACTGGACCACTGGTTTGCAGCGTTACACAAACCAGCTAAAGCCAGGAATGTATGAACCACAGCTTGAGCTGCGCTGGTGCCGGTCCCTTGTCACCTGCATGGGTGACATTGGGTGTGTTGGCGTAACCGTTTTATGTTTGGTATGCGATGCTCAGATGTTAGTACCCTGGATGTTTAGATTCCCCTGTTCGGCAGCACTCCGCACGGTGGCGAAGCATCGTCTGAGCTCTCTGAAACACGCTCGTACAGCTCAAAAAGCTTTGGCAGCTCAACAAAGCCACATCATCGACTGTTCTATCTGTTCCGACCATTCCAGGAATTTTACATCATGCCCCGCACTGGACTCTTAAGTCCACCTTCACCTGCCAGACGCGCCTCCTCCGTTTTTTGGACCGACACCGAAGCAATGTCGAAGTACGTGAGGATGTCGAGAGCCTTGCCACATGATCAATAAAGCCCGCAATCACCACTCCGCCTATCCAGCGGTCTGTATCAGACGTTCACAACTCATTCATGTACTACACCATGCCATCATTCAATTTCGACGTTCAACCTCCCATTCTTCACTCACGCCAACTGGCTTACACGCGTGCACTACTGTCCATGTCTGCGCTCATGAAGCCTGAAAAAGCATGATACCTATATATGCTACAAGACGGCTACACCATATTACGAAAGTCAATGTCCCATGGGCCATAGTGCTTTCGATACGACGAGGGGTGAGTCGCTAGTTGTTCTCGAAGATGCGAAGCAGGAGCAAACAGAAACTTGCATCTAACGTTCCGGTAACATCACCTATAACATCTCTCGCTCCTCGACTTCCCCGTTCTGTACACTGCTTTCCTTCGTTGGTACAGTAGAGATATCCAGGACATCGGTTGAAACATTGTCAATGTCAAGACCTATAGCAAATAAATCGAATAAATACTGCGACGAAAATATCGCCTAAACCTATATCTCCTTGACATCTATTTTGTGAGACTAAATAACTACTTGAGCACCGCAACGAGGCTTGGAATATAAACAAAAAAACAAATTTCCCGTGCTTCCTGCAAGCACTAGACAACCGTTCGCGCCAACTTTACCGAGCATTACACACTACTGCTAGTCGATACATGCACGCGCTCTTGGAAAGCGATTGAGGTCATGCCGGTTGCTGCGTCGGAGTCAGCCACGAGTTTAGCATTATATTCTCGAATGCCAAGGATCAGCCATGGTCCTAGCACGAAAATCTGCATGACATCCAAAATCTGCAACAAGCCATACAAAGTCAGGTCTTCTACGACATATAGGCTCTGTAGAAATGATAGATTGTGGTCACATGTAGAGGTAAGTGAAAGATCCACATACCGTTGATGATGTTGGAGAGAATATAATAATGAGGTTAGAGCAAGAGACAGCAACAAAGCTATCATGTCCGACCCTTCAGTGGAAAAAAGGACAATAATCACGATATGAACTTACCTCGCAAAGTAAACCACGTGAGTTTTCATCAACACCGTAAAACAGTCCCCGATAATCCCTCCTGCCGCATGTAATCGCAGTTCACGGAAGCGTTTTACCGCAATCCAGACTGCGAGACATAGTGTGAGGACCTCCCACACAATGGAGACTATCCAAGCAGCAGAATCCAGAACTAAGATATCTCCTATATTAATCCTGCACTGGTAAGTGCCGGAGAGAATGAGTTCCTCTGGTGTCCATCAATGAGCCCCATGCACGTTCGTTTCCATCCATAATTAAGCGTACCTCCTGAAGTATGCATCGTTGACATTAAGGCTGTCACTCCGTCAAAAGTGTTGATTGCCAGGAAGGTGACAACGAGAAATATCAGGATCTTTCTGGATTGTTGATACATGGCATGCAACCGAGCGATGATGATGACTTGCAGCATGTTTCAGTCAAGTTGAATATTCCTGAGGTCTCGCAAGCGCCAAGCTCACCCCACAGCAGTGCAAACACCAACACACCCATCCAATTCTGTACGATGGATATAATGAAGCCTGACAAATCCAGTCAGTGACCAGCCTCAGATAACACACACTCCAAAGACTTACATCTGTGGCAGTATAGTGTGGCAGTTATGAGCGAACCAAGAAGTTGGTAGTAAAGAACAAAACCCACTGCTACATGGCACCACGGTTAATTGAAGGGGAATAGCAGGCATCTGTGCAGAAGACTCACTGTATCTGTCAGCGAGATGGTCGGAACATTAACTGCATGCCGCTGGTTAGAAGAAGCGAAGAAAGTGAATATACTAAGGCGACATACCCGGGATAGCCATGCTGATTACGAGACATAGATGATTAGCACAACATCGATTGTTTAGCATTCCGAACATACGCAGCATATAAGATTCCAAGATAGCGTGCCTAGAATACTTTCGAGTCAGCACATGCTGATAACTGCGACACACAAGCTACATACACTGAGGTACATAACTGTCATGAGCGACCACCGTTGTCTCTGTAAATCAGTGTATTTTCATGAGTGTTCCCTCTGCCATGAGACTCTGCTCACCCAGATGAGTTCGACCTATAAAAGGATTCTTAGCGAGATGGCTGCTCCGGTCATGGCATCGACATACCTCTTGTCCGAATGTGAGCGCTGAAAATACTTGTAAGATATCAGCAATCCTTTAATATTGTCGTGCTCACACAAATCATACGTCACCGCAACAAAGGCGGCAACTGCGATACCGGAGCCAAGGTTAGATTGAGGCATCGGAGTCAGCGCTCAGCGTCAACATCCGATTGCTCTCTACGAACCTCCAAAATAGCTGGAAAAACGATATACATCAATGGACGGCCACCAAGTGGGATCATCTGAGACTATGGTCATATTGTTAGAGAATGGGTGTGGGTGAGAGGTGAACTTGGTAAACGTATAGCGGTGACGCTCGCTATAGTTTGGTAACCGAAATATCAACAAGATTAAGGTAAATATTTGTGCATAGATCAAGTTGGCGGTTCTTGTATTAGAAAATTGATGAACTTGTTCCCTGGAAGCTCCGTTTGTGGCTAGGTTGGGCTGTGCTTAGAGGGTTACATAACTCTTCGCAAGCAGACAAGCATCTGATATCTGAAACCGTCGCGAAAGCATCGTTCAACGATCCCTATTTGGCCTAGTCTCGGACGAGTTGCATTAAGTAACTAACTAGGCCAAAATGCGAACGGGGAACTGAATGACAACTGAATGACACAAGCGGTGCAAGATTATCATATCTAAACTTGATCAGGTGTGCAGATAATGAATTGCAGAACTAGTACTACAGGCAATACGCAAAAAATCTACATTAGATCTGTGTGCATCGTATGGAAAACCTCCTTGTCTGAAAATTTATTCAGGTAGTAATCATCACAGACCTCTAACGAGTTTGCAGCAGTTATCGTGCGATTCATCTTCGAACCATACACAGGGACGAGCTCGACGGCACAAGTAACAGCCGTCAGTGGAATGATGCTGCCAGGTCGGAAGATCCGACCTGTCTCATCCTGATGAAAGATTCGTTTCACCCTGTACATCCCAATGCTTGGCTCGTCAGCAGGCGTGGCTTTGATCTGGAAGTATTGAACGTATAAGAGAGGCGCAGCTTCAAGATAGCGAGGCAAAGTACGGCCTTTCTTGGCGGTAGGTTGGAAAACGCAACGCACTTGTGCGATGTAGACGTCTGCAGAGGTTGTAGTAGTAAGCACCTGAATGGCACCGCAGTAAAAATCTTACCATTACTCTCAGTTAATTGTATGAGAACTGCGTCACAATTCCCAAAAGGGAATGCCTCTGAGGGCGGATACGACTGGACAATTTGACTTGGCATGACAACTCATGACTGGAAGTTGGAGAGGAGTTGTATGCGGAACTTGTTCCACGTCCTAACTGAACCTCCCCGACAGGTCCACGATGTTGTTGGGGCACCCTGGGATGACTTACTAATATACTCAGTGAGCGCCACAGCAAAGTCAGGAAGGGCGTAGGTGTACTGCAGATCGGGGACGGTAAATGATTTTCGATCAGGAGCGACCGTGACATGGAATGCAGCAGTAGCTTCTGCAGAAAGAAGTCCTGTTATGAAGTGGTTGCGGACTGGACGTGGACCATGGAAGCGCTTCTGCTGACTTGGGAGCATGCGGGCTATCCATGCCAAGGTAGGATCTGTCTCTGCGACGATATCATCTTTGGCAGCAATGGCGTTAACGAGCGGTGCGCCATGCGTCTGCAGGAGCGTGTAAAGATTGAAACACTGCATGGTTTCATCGCGATTGAGAATTTGAACAACCTGTAAAGTAAAACTCTTGGCTTGCCGGCTGGTCCTTTCGAATGGAAACTTGCAGTGAGTAATCAACAGCCGTTCGCTGACGTCTGCTGAGTACTGTATCAACATCAGGAAATCAACCCTAAATTGATATGACCAGACAGAATTGACAATCAGCAAACAATATTACACATTATTTTTTAACCTTGTATATTTTTATCATGGCATCACACATAGATGACATATGATATGACTATGCCAGAGAAATATCACCTTGATTGTGTCTTGAAAGAAGCTAACATTATGATACTGGCCTATCCATGCACTGCAGCTGAATAGCTGTAGATCATCACATTTCCAGTAGACTGATAAAAATTGGCAATGAAAACACATCTTGATTTGATCTTAGATATTTTTATCATGGTGTTAAACATAGATGAAAGAAGGTATGACTATACCAGAGAAATATCATGTTGATGTGTGCCTTGAAAACAGCCAACATTATGATACTGGCCTATCCATGCACTGCAGATGAATAGCTGTAGATCATCACATTTCCAGTAGACTGATAAAAATTGGCAATGAAAACACATCTTGATTTGATCTTAGATATTTTTATCATGGTGTTAAACATAGATGAAAGAAGGTATGACTATACCAGAGAAATATCATGTTGATGTGTGCCTTGAAAACAGCCAACATTATGATACTGGCCTATCCATGCACTGCAGCTGAATAGCTGTAGATCATCACATTTCCAGTAGACTGATAAAAATTGGCAATGAAAACACATCTTGATTTGATCTTAGATATTTTTATCATGGTGTTAAACATAGATGAAAGAAGGTATGACTATACCGGAGAAATATCATGTTGATGTATGCCTTGAAAACAGCCAACATTATGATACTGGCCTATCCATGCACTGCAGCTGAATAGCTGTAGATCATCACATTTCCAATAGACTGATAATGTGTTGTAACATTTTAAACAGTGGGATACATCTTATCTAGATTACACAAAAGCTGTAATAACTACAATTGTGACAGTCTGCTCACATTTAGCCATCTAACATGGTCAACATTTACCAAGCTTGACAATCATAGACTACTTCAGACTAAAACTGACAATGGCACCAAGTTGGTGTCCAACTTCTGAACAATCAAATGACTTGAACACTAGTCTAACCTTTGCTGATTAGATGGATTTGACAATTAGAATTATTTTACTGGTACCCTAGCACTAATTTTTGCAAGTTTTGTAGCATACACTGGACACATTTTTCAGGCTTAATAGCACGCACAACATTCATATCAACTGGTTTTCAATTGGCACTGAGTATTAGGATGAGTACAGTAAGGTGTAAGGAACGAGCATGGTTCAGATGTTACTAAGAAACAATATAAATGACTGGGATCGGCCTCGAAAGTCTAACTCGCCACTCAGTGGCCAAACAGAACTACTCATCATCCATGCCATCAATAGGCTCGCGGTTATGTATTAAAACTAGACTAGAAGACATGTATGAGTAACTAGAAGTGAGCTGTCCAAAGCGAATCACTCACCAAATATTCATGGCAGGATACAACACTACCAGGCCCAGGGACGAAAGTCCAAGTCGCAAGCTTGAAAAAAATAGAAATGATAAACATGGAAACCGACTAATCTAAAAACCCAACATGCCCGTATCCATTTGGCAACTGCATCAACAGCCAAACACCAAGAGCCAGCTGTGAGATAAGAAAGACAAATGCTCCGAACATTGAGACATCACCCGAAGCCAAGGGCTGGCACGTGCTTGTTCGCGCTGCAGTGAAAGATGATGTGTCGATACCGTCGAGACGGGCGTGCTATGGGCATAGCAAGCCATGGTGACCGACCATGCTAATTATTATTGCTAGAGTTAACGACAAATAAACTAGCACCACAAAAACTGCTTACCGCATTGATCGAACAGCAAAAGTGTTCCAGCAGGGTTGTAAACTCATGTCAGATAGAGGTAAGGATGTATAAGTTTGGAAGGAAAAAGGTCCACCCAAGTCCTATCCGAAGACAAGTGAGAGTGCTGCTTAACAGTTGTTGATTTGACCTCCATAGTAAAGTTGGCGAATGGTTAGATGCGGTGGAAGAGGGAAGGATGATGGGCTTTAATGTTGAACGTTGAACGTTCGAAACTGAAAGTCACGTGAGTCAAACAAAAACAAATACGCGCAAATGTTGGACTTACTGCTCACTATGATATCGTGCCTGTGACGCGAAGACATGCTGAGCATGTCTTCGCCTGTCCATACCGGTGATAGAGAGCTATAGCCTGAAATACAATTAGTATGTCATTAAAAGCCTGATATGAACCACACCGTACTTGCAAGTCCTACAATGTCCAAGTCACATCCTACTACTAGTAGTAAGTCAGGACAGCCAATCCGAATAGATCTGGTCATAGTATGCACGGCTGCCTGGTCCAAGTCAATACGAGAACACTTTTGGTCACACTGGCCCGGGCGTGCTTTCTGTCGAGTGAGTCGAGATCATGAGAGAAACCAGCAACTTGAATGCGAACCATGTCCGGACTGATGTCGTGTTAGTTCAAGGCGTTAATGGCAAAATATCTTCGCATACTACGATACTATGTGATTCATCCTTTGGGTCGTTTCAATTAGTAGGAACACCACTTCAACTAAGTCAGAAAAGCTACGCACCAGTTCTGGACCTTGATGACAGCTTCGCATGTGAACCGGACAAGGCAAGATGACGACGTTAACATACTGAGGCCTCTAAAATCGCTAACGAAAGAGCCGGGCACTGTCTGCGCATATGTCCATGTTTCTCGGGCGTAGAAATGTGCAATAGCCCTTGGGTACACTGGCACCTAGTATCAGTGTCATAGCTCCGAGGAAAGGAAGTCACGATTTGAACTGTCTTACCCCGTGTAAAGTTGAACATGAGTAAGAAATGGTAGTTACTGATAGGCGAGGCATACCAGGCCCATCTAATCGGCATATCTACAAGGCTGTCACAGAGCCAATTGAGGCCATCCATCTGGAAGACCGTTAAGATGTCGGCTGGACCGAGAGCGGTGGAGAGCAAACCTGGAATGATGTGAGTTGTACTAGTTGTCGTTCGGACCAAGCTTAGGTTGATGTTTCTGTGTTGTGTGTGTCAATCCTTCACCGTGACGCTGCTCTCCGGATTCTTGACGTCTTTGTTCGATTTTCAAACGAAACCTATCTGCGAGTCTGCAAAGTGTTGAAAAGCGGCCTCGAATGCTAAGTAATCAAACCTGTCAGATCAGTTGAGATTTGAGAACTCCGAGAAATCAAGAATACATGCGAAGGATGTATGGAAGGTATAGAAGTGAGCCATTGCCGAAGATGCCGCGTGGAAAATGCGGGAAGACAGGCAAAGGCCCTCTGGATGAGTTTCAATACTTTACTATTTAAAAACATTAGCTATTTCCTTCGTACTTTAACTTACACCAGTATCAACAACTTGAACATACCTCAGAGCTTTGGGTCAGCTAAACTGTGTAAGTGACTTATTATTTGTATTTTTGTCGCTCATTTTATTTTAGCGTCTTCGTTGGATCCCAAACTTGAAGGAGAGGGAAATGGAGGGGGTGAAAATGTATCATCAAGTGATGATTAGCTTGCGATATGTATGGTGAGTACTAGTCTACGGTTTATGTTGGATTGACTCGATGTTTGTGATCTAGTGTGACAACGAGGGAGGGGAAAGGTGTGGAAGGTGAGGAGATGATAGGTGACAGAAATATTACGAGGAGGGAGGGAATTGTGCGTGACGGGAGGCGGAAGCATGGGATCAAGACGTCTGGGATATCAGCGCATCTAGTTCGTGACGACCCAAAATTGTGAAGATGGGTCTTTGCATTGTTGCATCTTTCCCTCGCCCGTGCACACTGCAACATACGATACAGTATGATACTTTTTTTCTTTAAAAAGATGACCTATCTATGTGCTCGTTTCCCCGGTTGCTGCCACCCAAGCTATGTTTCCAATCGGAGTCGACGCCATGTGTGCGCACCACTTGAGCTTGATCCATATTGATTATAATACGTATTGCCTCCCTCCGATAAACGAAGGTCAATCTGTCAGTTATTCTCTATTGTCGAGAAACCAACATCTATGCTTGCCCACATGTGATCGCCATAACGAATTGTCAAGAAGATGATCCTATGAAAGAAATTTTGAAGCATTACTATGTCAGTATCACCGGTCTTGTGGTCAAAAAGAGCCTCACCCTTGTCCAATGACCGCAAAGACAGCTGCGCTGATGTTCGTCCATGCAACACCTATATGCTCGATCGATGGAACGAGAAGAGCAGAGGCAGCAGACAGAATGAGCGACCAGCTCGCTCTAACAGGTACCTGGATGCGTTCAGGTTCGATAGTTACGCAATATCATAGAGACTGACATGCAAGCAGCTGTAGCCTCAGCACTTCGAGAATGTACCACGTCCACGTTATAAGAGTTGTTAAGATTCGTTACTGAATTGACCTATAGAATCAGTGAATTGCATTATGTACGGGGTGAGGGGACCAGCTGGCAGGACTTACATTCACTCCATTCACATAGAGGCATAGTATATTTAATGCGAGGCCGATCAGGCCCTCAATATACGTTGTGATCAGCCCTGATGCCCCAATAGACAATGGGACAATGATCAGCCCTCCGATCCATGTTGCTCTCAAACGATCTTCGGCCCACCCTCCTCTGCTTCTCCCGCCATCTTCTGAATACAATGTCCAATATGCGGCCAGCAATCAGAGTTCCGGCTGTTAAAGATTGTGTTGGTGCACCGCGAGTACAATGCTTTGCACATACTGAAACTTCCCAGTCCATTTGGGAGGAAAAACACCCTGATGATGGCTTCGTTCGTGATTCCATACTGGACGCCCTACACCGCGATCAGGACAAGATGCGAGGTGGAAGACAATTATCAGCTTACAATAGTATATGCCATCGGTACGACGAGGACTGCATTGTTTTAAGTGAAAATGCACTGCACAATCAGTAACAAGTAACGACATACCATAGATAGTGTTGACCATTAGAACTGACGCGAGCATCCACTAATATCACACAAATTAAGAGTTTGCACTAGCGCATGGTAAATGCACTCACAACCTTAAATAGGTTTGGACTGCGAAGCAACCAAAGAGTGCTCAAAGGACTAATCCATACGATATGGATCGATCTCCCGGACATCAATGCCCAATGTGCCGGGATGACTCGTATGAAATAAGCATAGCTTCAGAACAGCAGCCCAAATCACTCACCGAAAGTTGCACTGATCCCCGCAACATCCGTAAAAAAACGGATGTACCCAAAGCACGGTCAGGTAACGATCATGAAGAATATCGTGGGGCCGTTTCCTGAAGTTCCAGATGAGTAAGGTTTTGATGTCGCCTGTTAATTCCGTCCTTCGCAAAAGTGAGAGGTAGAACTTACAGAGAGATGTCAGGTCACGAGTCGCCGGCGTTAGTCTGTTCACCTCTAGCTGATCAGCGAGAGCGACAGAATTCCCCTGATTTGCAAAGTTTGGGTTAGAACGACGAAGAAGATGGAGGTAATTTGGGCGATCGAGAACTCCTTCAGGACATGTCAGTGCATGTTTGGAGCTTTTGACGATCCCTATAGGTGTATTCAGAAATCGTCAGTGTCAGGATAATACAAATTGGTACTCATATATGAATTCGCTGAAAACCAACCACGGGTCTGATGGGCCAGTGTCAGTACTTGATTGTCGTCGCAAGATAAAAGAACATTACCAAGATTCTTAGTGAGATTCTCCGGAAAATGAGGCCAGTATTGATTCGCGAATACGTCATAGGTGACGAAACAGTCGTGCGCCTCATGATCGTCAACATTGAAGAAAAGTCCTGCACTATCTCTCGTTTCGGGGACATCCTTGCTCAACATATCTGCCGCGATCATCTTCAACAGCTACATAAATGATTAGCTTGAGAACTGTCCGGACGACGGATTGGGACATACTCGATCGAAAGTCACAAAAAGAGGAAAGTGCTTATCCTCAAGTTCGCTGTATTTCATGGGTATATTTGTGAATCGAAGAGGTCGTCGAGATCAACAAGGCCCTCCTGTGCCTTCATTTTTGGAAGTTCTTCCAGGGTATAGCCTGCTAACGCCAGAGATTCGAAAAGCTTCGTGAAATACTCTTCCACTTTTGTAGTGAGCACTCTGAATTTGGTGACGATGGCGTGGCTTCGGCATGTCAATGGCACTCATCTCCCAAGCTCGTTGAATGCCGAGAATCTTCGTCGTGGTTTTCCTAGTTGAGTGTGATAAATAAACTATTCATATCAAAGGCAGGACCCTTACCCCGTGCTACTGCGACCAAAAACGCAACATGGGGTGGTAAACTCGACAATCTTCTGTTCTTGAGGTCTGAACCAACGATCAGTAAAAATCGTCTCAATGGGCAGAACTCACGTGACTATGAAGATGTGATGCTCTACGTCCTGGTTTGCGATGGGACCTTTTGCAAGAATGAGAAGAGGTGACAAGCAAACTGCATGTTCACTCACTCTGCAGGAACACCTCAAACAAGGGGTTTCACATCAATATTCACGTGCCGGTTTCTACATCCACTATTAAGCGCCAGGATCGGGTGCAATTGCATCATGCTGTGTTAGTACTGGAAGGAAGATCATTTCTAATTCAAGTTGATATGTACCACTCAATATTGCTTAGACTTCAGGTCTTACTGAACACAAATATATCAGCGGGACCATGACAACTGCACCAGATATCACATACGCAGGCGGTGCTGTAAAACAATTTCAAAAATTGTGTCGATTAACCCTGCCTTCTTCTGAAAGTATTTGGGCGACCCTGGTATCCGATGAGAGAAGCCTGCTTCATACGTGCGGACGGCAGAACTCATAGCTTCCCTGATGGCAACTGCGTTGGGAGACGCGATTTACTGCTGAAGAGCAACACGAACAGGGTGAACAGACTCCTGCGCAAGTCCACGACGTTGCTAGTCGGAAATAATGACAGCAGCTATGATCAATAATGAGCAGATTCATTGCAATGTGGCATAGAATCTCACCAGAACCAAGCTGCATAATCTTCTCCAATGTTGACGACCTGGAGGGCTAGTGAACCTTTCAGGTGAGAATTGTGTGCATGAGCTGTGAGCAATGGGACATGCCGAAAATCCGAGTCCTAACGTGGACCACATCTGATCTTCTTCGGGGCGGTAGCACTGATGAATCATGATCAAAAAGCAGAAACAGTCCAGGATAACTCTACTTGCATACTGGGATTATCAAGACATCAGTGCTCGAGCCTGACAGAGGATCAACACACTCACCATCTGTCAAGGGATCAGCGACATCTTGCGCCAGTGATGCTCGAGGTCAACAGAAGATAAACACACTCACGTCCTGTCAAGAGATCAGCAATGCCTTAGGTCAGCATGCTGGCAGAGATGATCTTAGTACTACGTAAAGTAAGCGTCGAATATAAATCAGGAGTTTCGAAAAAATTCTCACTACAGTATGTGGGTACCATAAACCCAAGTCGTCTACAATCTGGCGGTCAGATGTCCAAGATATGTGGGACGAGATTGTCTTGGAGAAGTCAAGATACCGTGCAAGTGTCCTCAATATATAGTTAGTTATTTCTCGCCACAGATCAGTGAGATTTGAGGAGTTACATTTTGACTGCATATTCCATGCACAGCTCCAAGGTGGTCCGCTGAGTTGAGACAAATATCCGTTTGAGTGTATCATCATCCAGAGTTTCGGCCATCCGCTTGATAAGTATCACGCAGTCTGTATAGTCCTTGTCCATATCTAAATGTTGGAAAGCAGATAGTGAATTGATTATTAACAACTCGAGAATTAGTTGACTGACCAGGCAACCATATGTGACATCTCGGAGGACGTTGGTTGCCCTTGCAGTTGTACAAAAGCTTTAGTTGTGTCCCATTGGCGAATCCTTCTTTGGCATGCTGCGAAGCCAGCGCTTAAGCATATTTTCTCGATACTCCCTTACTTATCAGCTCTGCAAATTCATCATCGTACAGAGCGTCGAATTTAGTGAACAACGCTATCACTGCAACTAAAGATCAGGAATGAGTTAATGGTACACAACAGCAGATGCGAAGGCTTGGTGTCGCACTGAGAGAGAAAATTGACTTCCACTTCCGTGAAAGACCTACCATCCCCATCCATCGGAATGCAGTACCTATGAAAAGATCTGAGATGGATCGCGAGGGTAATGAATTGGAAACAGTACATAGGTATGAAGAATAAAAAACGCACTCTTGGGATATGGCTTGATGATATCTGCACTGTGGGTTATGGATGATTAATGACTCGGTGATAGAACAATTTGAAGGTTCATGCACATGAAAGACTTTGAGCAGCAGTGTGCAAACATCTACCCCCGAGAGAACTTCCGTGATGAGAACCATCGTTGACTCGTGGATAAGCACATAGCAATCTGCCTGAAAACTTGTAGTATGTCCTGACTCACAACCGCATGCATAGTAGAGCTTCACCACTGGACGGCGTAGATATGGCTGTTGTTCAGCTACCAGCTCTGTGATAGTGCATACGAGCGTGAAGGACGAGACCTAGAAAGCGTCAGTTAGCGTGCGTCTGCCACATACTAGTTGTAGACTGCCTATTCCGGGCAACGTACTAAAATCAAGTTCAATCAAGAATTTCGATGGTATGAAGAGCCGGACGATGGCGGCCGGGCTCTAGTAGCACCCTGTGATGTGACTTGACAACTCGAACCATGTGCGTCATGTGAACCTTCACTGGCCTCGGCTTAGGCAACATTGATTGCACCCGGCCTCGTCATTACCTGTGGAGACGTACACATTCAACAAGATAGATTGCATTGGTTATCAAGAAATAAAATAGGAGTAGCATACATAACATAGTTTGACTTACAACCAACTTGAGTGACATGGGAACGGCTACAAAGGGGGGGAGGGGGGTACAACTACAAAGTAAGAGTATCACATGAGTGACGATATGTCAGAAGAGGCATATGAAGTCGACAGCCAATCATCGAACGAGCCCACATCGTTTTCAGGCAGACGTGATGCACACGCCATTGAACTTCCGGAAGATACACCTACAGTGATGTTAGTGTCGAAAGAAAGAAGTATAGCTGCATGCCTACCATCATCGGTGTGCTCGAACTCAGACATACGGGCTATAGCTTCAGAAAGCATCTCCACCTCGACCTGCGCACGCTGCTTCTTCAGGCCCAGGATATGAATATCGGATTTGAGGACGACCAGACTCTTGCATTCCTTTGTTTTGAAGCCATCGCTATTGCACGAGGGCTTGAATTCTGCCAAGGATGCACTTATGTAGGCACGATATGTGGTGTTATTGACCCATGTTTTCAACAAGCGAGGTAGGGAGAGAAATTGATCGTCAGGCTGCAAAGCGTCGCGTTAGAACCCCTCCCCCTCTTAGCATGATTAGCACTCACCCCTGTAAGGTATTCATGGAAATGAACAGCTTCTGGACGTGGAGAACCGAATGGTATTCGGCTTGTGTCAGAATCATCCAGACCATTGCCTTGCAACACAAGAAGCCATGTGTTGCATTTGTCTCGTACATCGCATTTGGGCATGACCTGTATAGGTCAGACATCATCGAAATTGACCGGGCTGGGCGTTGCGTATTGTATAGGTCGGACATCATCGAAATTGACCGGGCTGGGCGATACATATGTTATACACGTGACATCACCCACTGTGGGTAGCTTCTTTGGACATTCTGAGAACAAATATTGAGCGACATAAAAAATTCGCAAGGTGTTGCTCACCTGGAGAACTTCTACGTTCCAACTCTTCGCACAAGTTAGCAATAGCAGTACTAAACAATGAGATTTCAGTTTGAGCCCGGTGCATCCTGTCCTCCAACCAACATCTCCCTTGCGAACAGGATATGATACAACAGTCATGTTCTCGCTCGAGCTGCATTGCGACCTCCCTGAGGCTCACGTCAAGGAGAGCTATGAGATCGTGGGAGTCAATCCATCCAAACAGCACAGAAGCTGTGACAAAGAGGGACTCTGGAAGCTGAAAGTAAAGTTAGAATACTACAATAATCATATGGCCAACGCTCACAGTGTCATGCCCCTGTTTCTGGAGCCAACATATCATGGCTGTCTCAGTCTGTTCAATCCCAAGAAAATGAGAGTAGGAAGACGTTTCGAATGTAAAAGGAACGGGGGAACTGGTGTTCACCATGTTGAAGTTAGAGTGTAGTAAGAGAGAGGCTAGAGGGATGTTCTCACGAGCGTTAGATGCCTACACAACCTATTCAGTCGTTTAAGAAGCGATGGTGATCAAACGATACGATGGCGATCAAACGATCAAACTCTAAAAAACGGCAAAGGCACATAATCAGTATGTATCCTGAATGACTAATCGGGAAATACTTGGAATCAGCAGCGCGGGCAATGACTTCACGATCACAAAAATGTTTGTCCAACGGAAAACAAAGTACATTTCAGAACGCTCATTGGAGCAGATGTTACATATACAACACCGATCTATATAGGACTCGTTTTCAACTGCGTGAGGTCGAAGGTCCCCTGGGCCGGCTGATGCGGAACACATCGGTCTCACTGCATATTGCATTCCCATTAGCCACAGTAGTCACAGAAATCATATCATGTCAACTTACGTGAGAGTGCACAAAGCTCTCATTTGAGTCATGAATATGGCAATGTCAGGGTCTTGATCTTGCTGGAGGAGCATTACAGCAGTCTCGCGGAGTTCACTGTGCACTTGGCTCACAGGCGGATAGTGTGGCATGGCCTCTGCGGTACCCCAAATGCTCACGAGCTTTGTAAGGAATGATTGGTAGCACTAGTGTGACGATAAACGCAAGTGAAACACATAATAGGGAGTACTTACACACGACCCCACCAAAGCCAAAAAATCTACTGGCAAGTGGGCAGCGTGTCTAAAGATAGCTGGCCCCAGATCGGCGATAGTGAGACGAATACGATTTGTTGTGGTTGTCCTGTACGCGATATGATAAACCATCTCCCTTGCTGCTTGATGGATCAAGAAGGCGTAAAACCCATTAATCTGCAGGATACAATCAGAGTATGATAATGAAGGAAAATTTGGAGAACTCACTCGGATTGGGAGCAAATGTGCATGCGGCCGCGTGAACATCTGCAGGAGGGTCAAGATGCTGTGCTTTAGAGTCAAGCCAAAGAAGTTGCCGAGCCCAAAGATGCAAGCGTCGTTCATAGCGTAGCTGATCACCCGACGGTTATCATAGAGAAACTGCGTGATCCACGGACTCGCCTATTTGAAATAAGACAACGAAATGAAAACAGGAGTGACACGTACGAGTGCCAATACTTCGTTGTGTGTCATCGGAAGCTTGGAGTCTTTGCTTAGCACTAGAAAATATTCAGTCTATATAAAAAGGGATAAAAAGTAAGTCACCCACCCATTTCCAAATCATGGGAAGTGATGTTTGCACGATCTAAGCACCCAGGCCAGAGACTGCGAATGAGCTCAAGTCTGCGTTCGCCATAATCGGCATTAGTGAGAAGGTGAGGATTGTCGGAGTGACCGCAGGATATAAAGATCCTCAGAAAGATACGCAGGTATGCGAGGGACTTGCACCAGTTTGGACAAGCCCCCATGATTCTGTGGAGGCTATGTTCAGCCTTAACCTTCTTGGTACGGACCTGCCGCTCAACTCCTGGCGCTGAGGTCATGGCTGACGACTCGACCCAGGTAGTCTGGAGGATGGACTCTGATTTGTCGATTGCCCCTTCATCCAGAAGGTGTTGGTACCCGAGAGGAAATTGCGCGAGATGGATGATGGTCGAAGGTTGGTCGACCTGGCCCACACCAACCTACAATATTATAGGATGAGAATAGGATACATTAGATGATTGCAGGCAGACTCAGACGTACATAGTTATAGATGCCGTGCAGCATCTCATCATTGCCTGCCCTACCTTTCAGCCACAGCAAGTTCAAGAACGGCGCAGCAATTTCTTGCAGCTGCACGGCAAGTCAGTGGGAAGGCGTGGTGCAGTAGAGGTAGAACTTACCGCTAAAACATACACCGGGACCTCGGTGCTTGGTAGTAACTCGTATGCTGTACTATGCACCATCGGGGTTTGCAGATATGCGAACAGACACAACTGTTGCTTGAGCTGGGAGCAGGTACTAAGTACATAGCACGTATAAAGATAAAATACACCTACAATGTCAAGACTGACAGGCGGACACTGAACCATAACATAGATGAGGATTGCGGTGTAAAGCAAATCGAGTAGTACTTACGTAGAGAGGCAAAACAATGGGCTGATGGCCCAGTGCCAAGTACCCTGCAAGCTCAACAGTGGCTAGAGGGACACCCTGAAGCAATCAGTGAGTAAAGTTGTCCAGCATTGCAAGACAAGAAAACTTGCAGAGAACGAGAAGAACCCAGAGAGCATGGGGTCGAAATAACAAGCATCAATGTTCATCGTATTCTCTGAGTGATTATCGAAGGTAGACATTGTGGTGGAATAAAAAAAACACATCAGTACGATGCATTTTTAAGGCTTATTGAGAAGGAATATTTGCGCACGGCCCCAGCGGAAGTTTGAATCTGTATTTTGAGAATGCTAATTGTATATTGCCGTCAAATAGTTCCTGTTGAATTCAGTATGAATTAGGCTATCAGAGCGACAACATAGGCATACCTTAATTTAGCTGACCTTATTACACTTAGCACTTCAATTGGTCAGCGCGGTGTCATGGAAGTAGTAGGGCTTATTAGGTGTTACATTGGATTAAGTTAGATTATTGACACGAGGCCCCGAACGAGGACTGGTCATGACAGTGCCATCGAGAAGTCGCCGTCCTTATTACGTGTGCCATTGGGGCGGTACAATCTACCTTGTTCAAGTTGGCTGCACCAGGGCGTTGTCCTAAGTTTACACCAACTTAATGTGACTCTGAGATGCTAGTTCTCGTAATCTAATTCTAAGTCACTATTGTACATCTCGTGAAACTCAGATAACAGCAATTCACTGCTGGAGCCAAACTCTTGCTCAGGGAGCTCGTCCCGATCACAATCGGAATTATCCTCCTCTTCGTCTTCATCATGACTTTCAACTTCCTCATCATCTCCTAAATCTTGAACATTATGCTCGAACCCCGCAAGGCATTCATCGTGAGATTCAGCTTGTAAGGTATGGTGGTGCGAGTAAGTATGCCCCACTCCAAGACCGAAGTGGAACCGCATTAGCATATCGTGGTCCACGAACCTAAAATTACGAACTAAATACAAGTCATGCGTGAAGCAGTAGCATTACTCACCGGTTAACGTAGTATGCGCACCAATCATCCTTATCTCCTGCGCATGCTGAGCGACCTGATCCATCAGGCCGTCGCCTTTTGTGAGCAAAAGAAGGAATGATATGACAGCCCCTAAGGACGTCGGTCGGATCCAGAAAGTCAAACGAGTGTTCATCGGCCATAGACGGAAATCGAACACGATCCATGGTTGAGGTGTCCCAGGTAGAAATCTGGTCTATGGGCTCGTACCACCGAACCCATAGAAACTCCATTCGAATCGGTGTATAATCGACCATACCGACTCCAATGAAAATTACATTAGTATGATAAATACCCAGTACCTTGCCATAAATAAATCTGTGACCTCGGGGTCCCATATCGTTTTCGGCGCGGAGGACCATAATGTTGCAGTGGGAAGTTCGTGGGTTGATGACGTCTTGGGCTCGACGGACATTGTAGGTGGTATAGTTAAACCTGGCAGTGTTGTGATGGTACATTCGCTCGTCTTTGATGATGATTGAATTGGTGTGATCTGACTCTGCAACATTCCTTGACATCGTGATTCGACGTAGTAAGTGAAGCTTGAGTTTCGACATGAAATTCTGTAAGAGCAGGTGTTAAGGATATTTGCGTGGTCATAATGAGACTGACCTTGATAGCAGGATCGCCTTCATGAAGGCGCAAGTAGGATCCTATATGTATAGGATGCTTTTGCGTCAGGCCTATATGGTGATGAACGTCCGGGCTTCTCGCTAACTCCGTGATTTCGATATGGGGGCGATAGACAATCCTGTCACCCACGCGCCGAATACGAGTCTGGCGGTGTTCAATCTGAGTCAACTGTCTCACAAATAACTTGCGATCCGTGCGGCGATAACTGGCCTTAGGCAACCGGTGTTCAAGTTCACCCTGAGTACTAAATAGTTAGTTATGTTTATACACGAGGAGCAGGGACTGACTGGTTCACTGCTGTACGAGTCGGACGTGCCATACCGCCGAATTGTAGATACATAATCGCCTAAAGCGTAGAATTTATAAGTTTGGAAGTTGAAAACCTTCGTGCGCTGCCCATGATTCAGAGCGCCTTGCTTGCCCTTGCGCACACCATTTTGTTTGGATGCTTGTCTTGCATGGCGTCGCGTGCGAGCCTCGACTTCCCGATTAAGTTCGCGGGTAGTGTAAGCGGCGCAAACCTTGGCTTTGAATTCACGGAACTGTTGACCAACTGCTGAAGTGACGAGATCCATAATGTCAAGGGTTAGATCGGAATGCATCCGAAGTTTAGCTAGCCCGTGCCAATGCGCCATCGTAAATAGCAGCTTGAGGACGATCGTGTTGTGCGGTTCCGGAAGAAGGCGGTCAAAGACTGGGATAGAACACTGCACATCGCGTCAGATACTGATCTGCACCAACGAAGATGAATTCATACCTGGAGTAAGTCTTCGAAATTGCAAGCCGCCATCCGCTTCATCTCTGAGGAGTTGGCAGAGAATTTTCGAATGGTCGCCTGGCCAAACATTGGAGTTTGTCTGTATCTAATAGTAGAAATCAGATAAACGAAGCACCGCTACGATGATACACACACCTCCGGTCTAATTCATGGATAAGAGATTTATCATGCACCAAAATGATGCGCAGCAAGTGAGTAAAAAGGGACTTCCAGACGCCGATCTCGAACTCATGTAAGAGATTGACAACAAGCGCCCAGAAAATATTGAACCCCAAGGGACCAAGGCGATCCGAGAATGCGTTCTAAAGAATGATTAGCCATGGTCTGTTACGAAAATGATTCCAGCCTCACCGAAGTAGGCACCCATGAATGTGGTTTAAGGATACGTTCAACTGGCGCACTGCCGACCGCTAAGTTCTTGTCGTAAATCAGTTCACGTGCAGTGCCCACGATATTTCGTCTTCTTTCATCATCGCGAGCCAGAGTCTCGCGCTGTCGACAATCTTGAGGCTTACCCATATTCTGAATCCGGTGCTTAGGTATCAGACATCGAGGGCATGGACACCCTCCTAAGTTCCGAACTGTCACTATAAGTACCCTGGAGAAATCATATCAATAGTGTTCAATATCAAATAGGAGTTTGCTTACTTCTCTGGATAGTCCGCAGAGTAAGTGAAAATCCTCGGGTAGAATCTGCGCTTGATGCCATCACAACAACAAATTACAATACCGTGCTCGTATGCCTCGAGAAACTCATCGTCCAGTAGAATCTTCCACTGCACGTGAAAAAATTCTCTGTGGCAGTGAGTTGCACATTCACTAGTCATTCCCTTCCCGCCTGTGAAATCTTTGAATGAGTCCGGAAGCTGAGTAGTGCGGTGGTAAGTGTGATGTAAGACGCAAAATGTGAACAAAACGTACCGTCTCGAAGTACGCAACGTGATTACTCAGATTACACGATGGCTTACAACGTCGATACTTGGACTCGTTGCCAAAATACATATAGGTAGGCCATAGTTTTGCATTGCCGAACGACGTGAGTTGCGTGGCATCTGACCAAAACATAATGCCAGCTACCACTCGAGGCAAATTACAACCAGGCTCCCTGGGTGACTCTTGCAGCTCTGTGTGAGCTTCATGAAAAACTGGCGATGTATACAAGTCGCCGTGTATGGCGACTTCTGCGTCTAGATGTGGGGGAGTCCAACGCAGCTGATACGGCTCATAATGAAACAGTTTATCATCTCGAGGATTTGAGAGCTTCTCCCGCAAAACAGCCACCAGTGAACGGTGATATAGATGTGCAGCTTCGTATGTCCGGGGCCCTGGTGTTTGCGTGGTGCGGGAAAATGGTACTTCGATGGAGACCGGTGTTTTATTCCATCCTGCGTCTTTGTCCTGCCATTCTGCCTTGTCTCCTTTGTCGTATTCATTCACCCCCAGCGTGGAGTTGATGTTCTTCCAATGCGTGGATGTCACATCAGAAGCGCTGAAAGTACTGGCACTCATTATGTCCAATAATTTCGTATAGTCTGCTTGAGACTTCTGAAGTCCCTGGTTCCAGTACCAATCGCCTAGCTGGAAGGAGGAACAATTGGGATAGGGATGGTAGAGGGAATCATTACTTGAAGTAGACGGTTCCTGGGGGGCCTCAGGAATAAATGAGAGGTCGGCCATGGTCATGTACTCTTCTGGATCATGGGATGGGGGCGTAGCGCAAAAATATTGACGCACTAGCCCAAATATGTTCGCAGGAGTACGGAAAAATGAGCGCGCCGGTAAGCCTGGGCGATCTTCTGGACTGACAATACGTCCAACAGATTGCAGAAGTAGATCACGGACTTCCGCAGGAACAGTAGGTGGGGGCTGAGGGAGCACGTCCCTGAATCTCTGTGGTAGTCGTCGGTTCTGACGTCTGGGTCTCTGCTGTGCCAGACTCATGTCCTCTTCATCAAGATTCCCTCCTTCGAAGTTACGATGATGGACGTCCACGGAATCCTGTGATGGATTGTGTGGAGACACAGGATCTTCAAGCCGTGAAGGCAATGGTGACGCAGAGGCTTCATCAGCAAAATTGGCGCGGCAAGCTGGCAAGACATTGGGCAATGTAATGACCACAGCAGACTCATTAGGAGCGAGTGAAACACACGGCTTTTTCCTTTGAGTAACAAAATCCTTGAAAGACGTCAACGCCGATGACAGACACTTTTTGGTTTGGGTACATGAACACTGGTGTTGACTATAGTGATTCTGGGTCGTGAAAGTTCGCTTGCATACACAAGTGTAACCGGACATGAAGTATCGACTAACGCAAGTCTTGTGCTACTGAAGGGGTAAAGAGTCCCGGCAGAGAGTCAAGATGATAGCGCAAATAATTGCTGATCGTTGTAGTATTTGGTAATTAAGGCCAGGAAGTTCAAAGCCTCTGCAACGAAACAGCCAGAAGGGGGCAATATAAAACCGCCCTTATTGCGGCATGATGTCAGGAACTCGATGGCACTGGGACGACCAGCCGAAAGGGTGACCTATAAAGTGTTCAGCCACCATCCCACTAAAATTAAAATGTCCGCACCATCATCTCCAGGCTCATCTTGCTCGATTTTGATGTCCGAAGATTTCAAACCCGACCCTAATGTGGTGAAGATGTTGGTGACGATATTGATTGCTCGCCATGGTGTACTTCACTTCCACGGCCAGACAGGAGAACTGGCTACATTACAATGGTGAGTTGTTCATCAACAGAAAAGCCATTAACAAACGTACATCGAAACGATAGGCCAAGCACTCGACACGGATGCAAAGTCCACCCATCACGCTGGAAGGCTTATCGTCAAGCGCATAACTTTCGTTATCCCTGTTGCCTGTGCGCTACAGGTGGGAGATATGTCGAGGTAGCTGTGTTTCAGCGAACTCAAGGGATATGCCAAGGGGAGTACATCGCTGAGTGCGCGACCAGCACGTGCGGCTACTTGTGTGAGCTAGCTTCCAAGCCAAGTTAAATGGTGACTGACCTGTTATTTAGTAAATATTGAGAGATTTTTCGGAAGAGTGTGTGTACCAGCTGTATATTATCCTCGAAGAGGTATGTCTAAAATTACGCACTTCCTCAGGTGCTAACATGATCAGGGATTACCAACGGCCCTCAGCCCTACTGTCGCTTTCCTATACATAATGTCAACAACATTATTCAAAGTGAGCAGAGAGTATCTCACAATCGAAGTCGAGTAGCGATTCGGGTGGAGCATCCCCTGGTGATTGATTTCTGACGTCAGGGTCTGTAAAGTCGTCATCTGTATTATATTTGATAATATTGCGCCGAGTGCGCACACTGTCACCACTGTTACGACTAGGATAGGTCAAGCTCTCCCTAGGCGGAATGCCTAATCAGATAGCGGGCTCGCTACTGGAGAGACAGGTTCACAGCTTAGCGGAATGCTAAGGTATCCTCCGACAAGCTTGGTAAGCGTGGTGGCTCGTCAAGCTGTTGGGCTAACGGAACTATACGACTAAAGGTAGCGTCGGCTTGCCTTTAGGTGCGACTAAGACTGAAGGACTGGGACTGTCTTTCAGAGGAAGTTCTGGGGAAAACCTAGTAGAATCAAGTACCGAAATACATGATCCTGTCTGCTCTATATACTGTCGTCCATGTGCACAGACCAATACTACGTTCGGTAGGTAAGTATGAGTGTATCCATACACGGGCATGTTATCAGATGCCATGCGGGCGATTATCTATACATGAGGCGTTCCATGCCTCTTCTATTAGTCCTCAAGGCTAAACATTCCTTGTAGTCTAACTGCACATGCTGCGGCATGCGGCTTCTCTTCTGACCATGAAGCAGAGCTTCTCCATGATCCGGGTCGAGGACCGTCTAGATGTTGCCTAGGCTGGTCTAGGTCACCTAACGGCATCCAGGCTGTTTCTAGGTGTCTCTACGTGTCTCCGTTGAGTCGGTAAGTCTTCCAAGACAGTGCATATGGTGGGATAGGGGCTAAGGTCAGGATGACCTCTGTATGAGGGGTTCCGGTTACATGTTATTGTAACAACCACACCTTCAACATACATCATAGTATTAGGTATAGTAAGTATGTAGTTCAGATTATCATTACTACTACTCAATACAAGTTTGAACATCAAAGATGAGAAAAGATAACACAGCTGACCAAGTAGGGTTTATATACGGACTGGCTATAGAAATAGAACTCCGCCGGCTGTACCCGAAGTCATTCAAATCGGATGACTTACATAATAACAGCCTCTTCGAGAGCTGAGCTATATTATATACTACCAGCATTGAATGACCAAAATTTAAAACAAAAGTGTGAGTAACTTGGTGGGTTCAAACTCTAGAATTAATATTTGAATATGCTACAGAATGCTACAGAGCATTCTGTAGCATTCTGTGATGAATTACGTTTCCCTGACAGTGACTTTTGGTGGCAACCTTTGAGGCGAGTTGGACTCGACGAGGACTACTAAATAGAATGAATGATCTCAGTCTTTGGAACAAGAACTCTGGTATATTAGATCTCTACCTACTACTAGTAGGTAGAATGAATGTACTAGGCAATTGGTACTGCCACTGTGAGCTTGGTAATGAAACATAATGACTCGATGATGGGACTTCAAGTACTAGTCCGACGGTGAAACTTGTTCAAGTTGAACTCCTGCCAGCAAGGGCGATAGTAGTTGCCTGATTGTTGCAATAGACGGGGGTAGGTAGGGAAGTGGTCTCATATAACTCTTTCAAAGTAGGAGCTGCAGGTATAGGATTCTAGTGAGTGAAGACGAGCGCACGCAGGGAGTTCAACGAGCTATAAGAGAATTTATTATCTCTGTACATGAGTAGGTACCCATAAGAGCATCGTAGTAGTAGGTAGTAGTAGTGCATACTAGTACCAAGGTAAATACTAAGGTAAGAGTCGTACTAGGTTCACATCGAAGGTTGCATGGGTTCCACGAGACAGATCTGGTCGAAGCGAAGAGTTAAAGCAGTACTAATAGTATCTGGATCTGTAAACATCTCCACAGTATTTTTTTTGATGTTGCACTTCGCTATAGTTAGGATGGCCCCGCGATGCTCCCCGTCCAAAATAAGGCATTGCTGGTCCTTTTTACGCGGAGGAGCTGGACTGAGGTCATGGGCAGGAATGTGATAGTGTTGGATGGCGGCCCCTGTGCCATTCGACGTGCAAAATGCTGCTATGCAATTCTCAGGTGCAGGTCCATTCGCACCACAGAATGGGTCTGGACATGCGGTTGATACGAACCGCTTGTGTAACCTCCCCCCCATGAAGCTCGGTGAAACTTTCAACAACACGTGATGCGTAAGGAAAGTTGACGCAAACTCCTTCTTCATCAACCAGGGAAGTGGGCCTATGATAAAATTAGTTAAAATTGTGATGCCTCCATCAAGGACTCGCCGTCGTATTTGACTTGCTCCTGTCTGACCTCATTGTCCTCCGGATTCACAGTCCAAGGGTCAAACATTGACTCCGAAGATGAGGTGGTCGAATCGACGGCCAACAATTGGTTTATCGCACCCTCAACAGCCTCGGGGTTGGCAGTCCAGGTGCTCAGGGCGCTGGAAGGCGGGTCGCTGGAAGATGTGAGAGAACTGGAGGAAGCTATTTTCTCGGGTGGGGGAGTGATACTTCGAGGCGGTGGCTTCAAGTACGATTTCTCCCGCATTTCACAAAACGAAATTAAATCGTGTCTTTCGAGTATTGTACCATTCAATCACATTCCATAACTTGACAACGATTAACTATCTTAGCGCAAAAACAAGGGCTTAGCTCACCTAGTGACAACTTCAGGGAGTTTGAGCAGTATCCGCTTCTGTCCGGGCAGTGCAACAGAACAATGCTCTCTCCCGATATCGTATAGCGTGGCACGGTAACCCTTATGCTGACCTTGAATGACAAATACTTCTTTGCCGATGACGTTCTTAAAGGTATCAACGGTCGCATTGTGTGTCTTCACCACGAACCGCATGGGAATGTTAATCTGTTGCCGATTAGATATGTTCGAGTTGAGATGATCTGGACTTACCAATGAGCCATCAGTTTGAGATAACAGGGTCAAGCAAGCAGATGGAAAGTCGACGTTTTGCACGACCCCTATACAAAGTGTTAGATAGAGTTAAAACATTGTCTGTTCGTACACACCTCTTCCTTAGTTGCCTCTTGACAAATGTGAAATATGTTATCCGACATTTGAACAACGTGACCCTCCAAACCCAAGTATACACCCGCTACAACTCGAACCAGATCGCCGAGCCGAAACACACGCTCCACGTCCCGAAGTCGAAAGTCTAGTGTTCAATGTCGAAGTTCGAATGCGAATTCCAAGGACACAGAACCTGACGCATGATCGGTCGAGACAACCTTTCCTATCTCAGAATACATCTCTGCAGAGATGACCCTCGCCTCGTTGCCCACGCGCAGGAACTGCATAGAAAATGCCAGCTCAGTGCGTTTGACGAAGGGCGTGTCCCATCCAGATTGCAAATGCAGTCGAATGTAGTCGGGATGAGGGGTGGTAACAAGCTCTAGGTCAGAATGATGAATTTTTTTAAGCAACAGCCCCATATAATATCGTTCTCCTTTGAACGAACATCCTACGACTTTGCCGTCATGAGTTATGTCGGATACTGTACTATTTGCCGGAAGTTGACTTCTGTCTAATAGTGCAGCAGATTTTTCAAACACGGGATAGGGGAAATCCTGCGGGGAGATTAGGACCGCGACAAAGTCGTCAGACTGCTCAGAATCATAGACATAACCTATGTCGCCTTTGTACTTGCCACGTTGAACGATTCGCACCCACCCCGGGTTGGGAAGTTTGGGTCGTTCACGTTCGACCGCTTGACGTTCTTTGTCTGAGATACGAAGGTAATCTCGGACAGATTGTTTATGTGCCATTGGGAGGAATGACGCAATGGTTTTCGGACTGTCAGATACCACATATATCTGGCCAGGGATCCAAGCTGAAACGGTAACGGGGAGTCCTTTGCTCCGAAGGTGTGAGGCGATATAGCCAGTCGCAGCTCCTGTGGAGTGCCAATGAGTGACACAGTGCTATGTGATAAGAAAGACGGACGTACTGTGAACATGCAGCAGATACATCCTGCTTTCAATCGTCCCAGGGCACCAGGCGGCTCTATAAGGAACTTGAAGGCGTCTGTCTGATGACTTTGACGTGTTGACGTGGTTGAAGATATTGTCGACTGCTGCAAAAAAAGTCTGTTTCCCTGACGGTCCTGGCAAACTCGTGACGTTTGGTGACCGAAGAGAGCGACTGCCCTCGCCGTCATCGTCGTCATCGTCGTCATCGTCATCATCATCATCCTCGCTCGAGCCCTCATCTGCTTCTACGTCGATGAAGGGATTCTTCGACTACACTGCTTTTAGTATGCATTCGCCAAAAACTACAAATTTCACTTACTCTGAGTCGTTGACACGATCGGCAACTTGGATGACTCTTACGAGTGTCTGACGAGCGCCCAAGCGTCCTCGATGCAGATACTACACTAGAATCTTCCAGTGGGCTCGCCATATTTGATTGGGAAGAGGCCTGAGGTACATGCTTAGCGTACAAGGCCTGAAGATTCACCAGGGGTGTTGCATTATCATTTAGGTCGTCAGCAGAGAACAACGCGTCTCGCGCGTCCTTCCAGTCATTTGCACAGTATCTATTGCCAAGGTAAGATATAAATTCCTCTTCCATCTGAGGGTAGGTCATCTCAGTGGTGAGGTACTGGAATAGAATGCGCCATGCGCCTTCATCCTCCAGTGGAGATGTGCCTGTACCAATGACAATCCATGAGTGACTGATAAATGGCAGCATCGCAGAGTCAGGACTTACTTTCACCTCTAACGCGCTTCGGGGTAGGTTCGTCATCACCATCAGATGACGCCCCGGGCGACCCAAGTGCGCGTTTTAAATTGGCCCGTGCCAACATAATTTGGAGCCTCGCTTTTGAAATTCGTATGATCAATTAATTGTCTATCATAGTGAACGCAAAAATATCACATACAGTTCTATGATCTACTCAAAATTTGTTCTCTACGCTAATTTTCACTATTCCTAATAGATGCAGTAGTGAAGTAGTGATAGCGGAAAGAAGACCTTCAAGCGGCTAGTAGGATCAGTATTTATAGTGAATGACTAATTGGGCGCTACTAGTCACAAGCGTCAATCTGTGGACTCCTGCAGTTGGGCTTCCACAGCCCGTGAGAATTCTGTGACAATGGTCCAGCATAAGTTGTGGACCGATAGTAGGCACCGCTGAGACACAATGTCAAGTCTATTCTATTTGCCAGCAAACGTTCAACCCTCTTCCGAGTCATTGAGGTCGGCGACCCCCGGCGGGCCAGGGCCTGGCTTATCCACATTCGATAATTACTAGTAGTGCGTACTCACTTCAATGAATTGCTATTGAACTCAGGTATTTAACTTCAAATTCACAACGAGGGAGTCGGAAAGAGAAATATCTCATGGGAAGCCACGCTAGATATACTGAATGACTGCATGTTCAAATTCAGCCGGCAATACCCGCTTAGTAATTTTGGCTGAGTTTCAATATAGTCATTCACTATAATTGGCGCATCCTGTTGTACACTTATCTTCTTTCGAACCCCCATATATCTATTTGCTACTAGTACTAGTACCACTACTATAAGTATACTGTGCTACGTGTTTCGTGTATGTTTTATGTAGCGATGTGTTCAACTTTTGAAGTTTAAGTATACTGTAGTGTGTTGTGAATAGGGTATAACACGAATGAACGTTACCGGTTCACCCGCGCACAGAACGTGAGGCGAACAGTACGAATGGTGATGTGGGTCTTGGATGGTTCACCCGCACGGGTACGAGGTCAGAGGGTTTGCTGAAGTCGGGTGTCTGCGAGTACTAGTTAGGTAGTGAGTTTGGCTCGGCCGAATATCATTTGCTGTTTGGGGTACTGTTTAAGGCTGTTTTCTGAACTCCCACCTGCTGTCGTTGCGGAGGTATGATCAGGTACGACCATCCCTAACAGCGTTGGTTTATGATGCTCATAAACCATATGTCAGGTTAATATTTGTCGTTATCAAGGCCTATCAAAAGTCGTTATTGACTTAGTAGTGAGTTCTTCCTGCTATTCTAGGGCTTTTTTTGTAACGATACTCCCGATACAGCTACTCCGTTCCTTAGGTGGGTTTCATTGCATTACGATATCGATGGCACCTGGATGGTCAGCCATCTTCGTTACGATATCGATGGCACTCAGCCAGCGCGCCGTTTTTTTCATTACATACTATTGAACTTTTGACATATAAAGCGGCTCATTTTCCATGACATTGGTAATTATACCTACATAGTTCAACTTATAGTATGAGTACTGATGAAAATAATCCCTCCAGTGATCCTTCACGCAAGCGTTGTGGCTCAGCCCTTCAAATGGGTCCACGTAAAAAGGTGTAGGTGGTCTTACAGATGGTAGCGAACCCCCCTGACTTTTGATGATCAGAGTTTCATCGAATCCCCTTGTTCTCCACGGTCAGCATTTTGGTCGAACAGTGTTTGCATTGTGCAACTACCCTGCTCTTCTTACATCAGGTATACTCCGACTCGAGGAATCACAGGACCCTCTCATAGAGGACTATCCCATGGAGTGAGTCCAATCACATCATCGCATATCACCATCACTTACGGTACAGCTAACATTAGTATCCGACAGGAACACAGGGTATTCATGGAGTTGCTGGATTCCTATCCTGGCCTCTTAGATCGTCTGACTAGCAGAGAGGAAGAGGACATTATCCACGTAGGAGAAATGGTAAGTTTTGAGTAATAGAAGGTCATCAACTTGCTGACCTTGTAAACAGCTAGGCAAAGGGGCGTCCGGCGTGCGAGGCGATGACACCAAAACCCTCAAATCTGCCGTGATCGAATGGCTTGTCCCCAGAGGACAAGTAGTCATACCTCCTCTTTCCCGAAACATTAAGTCTGACCGGGGATTTAACCATGAAGTTACGGGAGCGTTGCTTTGCCCTGCGGGCCTTGACTGGTCAAATGTAGAGTAAATCTTTCCATCACGCAATAACCGAAATGTCATTACGCTACCCAGAACCAAAGAGAGTCTCAAGAGCAGTGAAACCGCAGTTCGTGGTGACCAGTGGCCAATATTCTTATATGCAGGTTATGTTTATGATCCTGAAGATCCCTGGAAGGGGTTATTGAGGAGCGATATACTCATCTATGTGAGTTCAATCTATTTAACATTCTCGCTCATAGCAAAGTCTTCCTTCGTAGGGTTTCAAACATGTGTTTACGTCGCCAAGCTCAGTGGATAAGGAACCAAAGGCTACGCGCTCTGGCAACGCGTACCTCCATGGCATGAAATCTGTAACTAGAGGATCCTTGGCCTATATTTCCACGCAGGCACGTAGCCAATTTAGTACTGCATTCCTTCCCTGTTGATTGTTATTTCAGGTTCAGTTCTCGTTGAGTTCATCGTCCATATTCTCCCGTACTGACACGGTCACGGATTCGGAAATTTTCTATCATAGCATTCTGGACCTGTTAGAAGATCCTTATGAAAGTGAGGAGGTAGGCGACCTGATGATGTGGTGGACTCAGTTCGTTATGCATCTCATACACCTCAAGTCCCAGGCTAATACCTTGCACAGTCGTGTTTTTCCTAATTCTTCGTCATCGCAGCGTAGTATCAGCAAAAACAGCGCGCTCTCGAAGATTCGCGAAAAACGTGCTGCCCTTCAAGCTGTCACAAATTAATTTTTGTTGTAATATTTTTATTGTCCTGTACAGCCTGTATTAATTAATGAATGTTGTGTAAATATAATATGATGATGGCATAACAAATCCCTCTCTACATGTGCAATGTTATGTATATGTGACCGAATTATGGGCCTCTTGCCTTCGTGAGACAACTCAGTGGCTCCCTGTCAGTGATGTTAGACTCCACCATCGGAAACACTACGTGTAAGAGTAGTTATGTCTGACAATGTACTGGCATTTTGCTTTGTCGAGATGACTCATTGTAGCACTTGGACTCACTGCTAAAGATGTTAGGTCTGAGACAACAGTGTCTCCCTGTCAGTGATGTTAGACTCCACCATTGGAAACACTACATGTAAGAGTGGTTATGTCTGACAATGTATCAGCATTTTGCTTTGTTGAGATGTTAGGTCTCCCTATCAAAAACTACCTATATATTGCTAGATGTATCTTATATAGAAACAACAGTTTGCTGTTGTCTGACAACTCATTGTAGCCCCTAGACTCATTGTCGATAATGGTAGACTTTGCAATCAAAAACAATCCTGGTAAGAGGAGGTATGTCTGACAATATATCAGCCATATGATTTGACAAGATTGTTCTGTCAATTCATGGTTACACTTGGGCACATTGCCAATGATGGCAGACTTTGCAATGGGAAGCTGCCAATATATAGCTAGCCATAGTTGGTACATTTGATAATAACAGCATCACTGTGCTAGGTAGATCACAGCTTACTACCATAGGTTTGCCAATATGATGGCTTATGGGGAATCCCACCTATGTAGTCTACCCATCTACTCCTTTGTCAATTTTTCTGCAGTTTAATAAAGCTTTGCTATGTGTCATCAAATATTTAATGATGCTAGACCTCAAAATTGAAAGCTACGTATATATAGCTAGGTACAGCTGATCACACTTGGGCACATTGCCAGTGATGGCAGCCCTTGCAATTGGAAGCTGCCAATATATAGCTAGCCATAGTTGGTACATTTGATAATAACAGTATCAATGTGCTAGGTAGATCACAACTTACTACCATAGGTTTGCCAATATGATGGCCTTGGGAGAATCTGCCTATGTAGTCTACCTATTTATTCCTTTATCAAGTGGTCTGCAATTGTGATAAATATTTTTAACATTATATATCAGATAAAGTTAGGTAAAGCCTTGTTATACTCTGGTCAAATGCCTGATGAAACCACCGAGAGCTCTGATAGATCCAGCAAAGCTGTGAAACAACTCCAACTTTGGGATGAGAAAGTTGTCGATGGTTCCACGCTTGCCTCTCCAAGCACCGGCATCGAGGATGCCTTGTTTTAAGCGATGAAACTTGTCGAGGGACTGAACCATAGAAGCGATGGATGAGTCGGTGTGCACGGGGCTCTGTGCCTGATAAAAGAACTCAGTGAGGGCACGTATAGCATGAACGAAATCGGGGGTTGCATTTGTCGCGCCAGCGATAGTGGCAATCATGGTGCGTTCAATGTCGCGATGTTCCCGGCAAGTCATCTGGCTGATGTGGGAGACGCCAGAGCCAAAATGACGTGTTCCGACTCGTTTATGGTGAGCCTTGTAACGTGCATCGAGTTCCTCCTCCCCAACAACTTCCTTGCACCATTTTAGAGCATGGTCACCAAAAAACTTATGACAGGTGTGAAGGAGTTCGCCAGGCAACATATAACCAGGATCCGCAAACCTCCAATCTCTCCAAAACGGTTGATGGACGCCACTAAGCATCAACAATTTAGCTTCGACTTGGAAGCGCGGTACACTCCATGGATCAATGTGTTTGGATAGGTCGTAGATGAGCGTGAGCGTGTGTTGGCCTGTTCGAGGGGGATGGATATGAGCACTACCGAAGTCACTTTGAGTGGCCATCATGACCGGTGATGCGTTCTTCGAGACACAAGCAACAAGCTGTGCTTCAGGAAGGTCGGCTGTGTAGGCGACAAGCGGAGTAAAACAGTGCCAGATATAACCCATGGGATCTGCCATGTATTCACCAATCTTTGTGGCAACTTTGCATCTGGCGAATATCGTGTCCATACATTTGTGGAAGAGACGGGCATGGAGGAGCGTTTGATAGTCTGCGTGAGCATCGAACTTTGGAATTGGGATAAATGCGATACAACGCCATGCATGAGCGGTGGCCTTCATTCGAACTTCGGATTGAATATTGCCAATCATAAGGAATATTGGGTGCATTTCTAATCCTCCTGTCATCCTGGTTACGGGTGTTTTGTCAGATGCAAGAATGATTGGTACTATAGTGGCGCCTTCTGGAAGGTCATTCTGTTAAAGATTAGCGAGCAATTTCATTTATTCAAAGATCCATACTTGAATGGTGAAAGCCCTCTCACTAGTGAAGAATTCGCCGTATTCACGCTCTGAGCCAGTCATAACAAGGTGGGGATCGTACATCATGTGATTGGAAAATATCAGGTTTGCAAAGAGATCTTTAACGACTTCAAGACCGTCACGCCAGATGAGTTCCATTGGCCTCGCAGTTGTGTAGTCGATAAACTCGAATGTTGTTGATTGCCACTGAGGGCCACTTGGCAATACATCAATCCAGCCAAATAGTTGATCTGCGCTCTTGAAGGATGGTCGGGATCTACTAGTCTTAAACTTAGGTGAAGTTCAGGCTGTTAGCCACGGTGTGGAACTGCAAAGGCGGATGCTACTCACCCAGTCTAGTTTCAGAAACTTGTTAATGTCGGTTTTGGTCAGCCGCTGCACGATGAATTCTGCTAGCTGCCATTCAGCCTGATCGACGAATGGGTATGAGGGATTTATTGCTCTGCGGCGCTTTTGGTCAGGATCATGATCCTCCATTGTCTGCAAGATATTGTGTCCCCGACCAAAAAGGTACCCTGATTTTGAATGATACTGGCCAGTTACCTCTTCCTGGCCGCTATCGCCTCGTTGGAAAGCTAGAGGAACTGGTAAGTGGTAAGTGGGTTCGTTGCTCCAACAAGAATGCACCGGATCATTGAGATAATCCAAAACAGCGAGATTTGAGATGAATTCTAGTCTGCAATTTGGGCATCTTGCAGAGGAACTACTGATCGTGATGAAGTCAGCGTGATGAAGTCAGTCAGTCACTGCTACTATTTGATGCGGCCTAACTCACCCGTTGTGATTGTGTAGTATTTCTAGTCCAGCTGCAGTGCAGCCCGAGTCAGCCTGTTCCATCGTGCTCCTGCCAGGATTCAACGTTCAACTTTCTTCAAACTCCGACCCACTTGGTTTGTTGCCTCACTGCTTGCTAAGATAGTAGCAGATACACATCCAGCTGTACTTATGGTTCCCCCATCCCTTCATATTTCGTCATCTGTATCTACTATGTCAGGATCTAGCGGATGGACTTGTGTTGAGTCCCTCTGTAATTCCAACCCTTCCAAATCAGCGGAAGAGAAGGTCATTGCTTTGACCACAGACCTCCCACATTCAGACTCTGTCCCCTTCTCACACTCAGCAACCTCCTCCTCAAACTCAATTTGCTCTGGTCACGAGTCCCCTATTGGCAGCTCTCGGAGCTCCCGGCGGGGAGTGCGTTCTGCAAACAGAAGCCACCCTTTCACACGTCGTCCCACCCAAGTCGGGCTGCGTTTTGCCATGAAGGCAGTCCGAAGAAATCATCACTCTGACATCACTCTTAATGATGTCATTAAGGCGAGCAAGTATTGAAGCCACTGAATAACTGATTTATGGTGTATTTGACTGTTACAGGGGCGAGACCTTTTTTTGAGCGGCCTCTCATCCTTCTCAGATGATACAATCAAATTAGTAGCAAATGCTAAGCACGCTGCACGAGAAAATAGCCGTCAAAAACTCCTGCAACTCGGTTGGGAGATCGAAGAGGCGAAACTCAACAAGCTAGTCCTCATAGCATTTGAGGACAAGGAGAAGCAGCGCTTGAAAATGGCAGACTCGGATTATCACCTCTTCAAGAAGCTCCTGGTGGACCGGGATATTCCGGCCCTAGACCAGGATGTCGAATGCCTTGCGGAGTCACATGATAGCGAACTCGAAGACTTAGCTACAGCCGACGAACAGCTGTTCCAAATGTCGTCCATATCATCGCTTGCTACCAAATACGTCTCCCACAGGTTCCCCCAGAACAGTAGCGATACGGAGTACGAACCTGGTGAGGAGGAACAATATGACAAGTATAATCATAGCGACAACAGTAGCAACTCGGACAATGACGAGGCAGAAGGTAGCCACGTCTCTACCCTAAAATGAAAACAACTTACAAACTTACCCTTTCAGGTTGAACGTTGTCCACAAGGACGGAGTGCGGACAGATGGGCCGGCGGCGTCAATTACAATCCTTTTTTGACTCAATTCACTACTTTCCTGGCAGGTTCTGAGTTCCTATCACGAGACCCCTGATCATGATCTTTTTCAATTCTATACATTGTATTTTAGCGCTCTGAATAACAGAAGCTGTTACAGTAACATTTAGCCCCTATACTCATTACTTTTCTTCTTGCTTACAAACGGGCTGTCCGTATCATGCTTATCTCTTATCTTCGCCAAAGCGGGCCGTCCGCCTTATCCTTGATCCCTTATCTCTTATCATGCTTCTATCTTGATAACACATTTACAAGCTCCGCTTGAACATTCATATATAAACCTAGCTACTTACGATTGTATTCCTTACTTTAATCTACTGGGTTTTACCTGGAAACATCGTCCTTCAGTAAGGTCTCCAACCTTACTGTCTAAGAACTACTATTCTAAGGGAGTCAGCGACACTCGCCTTAGCCAGAACCTTTGATCTCTCATTCGAGAGCAGACTCACGTCTATCTGGCATCTTGCCGATTGTCTACTCAGACAGAGATAGCTCGACTCATCCCAGTCGTAACAAAAGATTAAAGTCTTATAACCTGAACCGTTGCCATCAGCAACGAAACCGACACCACGACTTCATTAACTCCTTTAATCGGAGCTTTGAACCTAGGAGCCTTACCAAATATCCCTCCTCTGAACACCATGACGACCAAAGCCAAAGATATAGAACTTAAGATCGGCTCCCCCCCCGAATTCGATGGAGACCGCGAGGAATCTAAAAGATTCATGATGAAATGTCACGCGTACCTTGATATCAATGATCAAGTATACAACGAAGACAAAAAGAAGATCATCCTAGTATTGTCTTACATGACAAAAGGAAACACAGCGATATGGGCAGAAGACTTCATGGAAGCAGCCCTAGACCCCAAGAGGAAAGACACCTCTGGTCAGATGATCGGCTACGGAACCTGGGCCACTTTCAAAAAGGACTTCGACGAAGCCTTTAAACCCATGGATCCTGCCGGAACCGCTATGATGAAAATCCGAGAGTTAGAGATGAAAGGAGATCTCCACACCTACATCTCCAACTACAAACTCCTCGCACATAGGGCGGGAATGACCGAACAAGCCCCCCTTATCGAATTCTTCAGACAAGGTTTAGATTACGGGCTTCAAGAAAGCATGCACCGTACTGGTGAATGCCTCGACGACTTTGACACCGTAGTCAATACCTGCATCAACCTCGATAACGCTTTCCAAAGGATGAAGGCTATCAGAAGAAAAGAGAGGCCCCACCAGCAGAAAAAGAAGAACTTCGGGAACAAGCATTATGTTCCCAGAAGAAGCGACGATATGGAAGTCGATCGCATAAGCCGTCTATCCGACGCAGAATTAAAGAAACATCTTAAAGAAGGAAGATGCTTCAAATGTCACCAGGTAGGACATCGCGCCAACGACGCCTCGTTCCACCCTAGAGAAAGGGACCAGATCCGAAGAAAACAAGAAGAAGAAAGCAGCAGCGACGACGAAGTCGAAAGTCGCGCTTCCTCTTCTAGAGCTCCTATTAGGAGAAAGAAGGAGAAGAACGAAGAGGAAACCCCGAAAAGAAAAACACCAATCCGAAGGAAGACTATGAAAGAAAAGGCGAAGGAAGACGAAGAAGAAGATAGCGACTTCACTGAAGTAGAACGTCGCTTCGTGGAAATGGATTTTTAGAAAGGAGAACTGCCTCGACGTCAGTAACTCCTATCCCTGTACGACTAATATGTTCTATCGGAACCAGAAATGAATTGAGAATTCCTGCATCCATTTTTTCCGATAAACGCGTACAAACCGTCGAAACATCCATGATCATCGACTCCGGAGCATCCAGAACTTTTATAAGCGACGCCTTTTGTAAAAGGCATAAAATCAGGACCCATAAACTTTCTCGCCCCTTTCCCGTCATCACTGTGGACGGATCAGACGCCCAGGGAGGACTCATCTCCCGTTATTGCGTACTCACGGTCAAAATTGACCAGCGAACCATGATTGGAAAGTTTAACGTGGCAAAACTAGCCAAACAAGACAAAATCCTCCTAGGATTCCCTTGGCTCTCCGCACTAAAACCTCAGATCGATTGGGAAGCCAAAACTGTATCACTCCCACCGACCAAAAGATCATTGGCTATAGAAAAGAATATCGATAAAAAACGACGAAGAAGATCCCTCCCACCTCTCTTCAAACAGGAGAGGAACGTCGAAAAGGAAGCCTCTCGAATTTGGGTAAATTCTAAACTACGGAAGCCAGTACAGGTGAAGGTGGCAACTAATGAAACCCCCTCCCCCTATACTGCTTCCGTAGAAGAAGAAACGATGGATGAAGAAACTCCTAACTACGACACCAAGGACGACGTCTGGTCAGAAAATTTTAGACCCCCAGTCCACGATCCTTTGGCCTATCAACTAGCCAACGATGAAGTACTCGTTGAATACGCCACTGACGGAACAACTGTGCGCATCATCGAAGATCTATCTTTCGATACCCCCCTAGTTCGAGATGGAACATCGAAAAGAGAACAAAACTTCGGAAAGACAAGCAATAAGGCCCAGGAATTCGCAGTCGCAGGAGAAATAGAAAAACAGAAGAAAACCTTTGAAGAACTCGTTCCCCCCTTCCTACACCAGTACCAAGATGTTTTCGCCAAAGACGGCCTCAACAAACTTCCGCCCGAGAGACCTGGGGTAGATCATCGTATCGACCTAAAACCAGGATTCATACCCAAAACTTCAAAGATTTATCCGCTATCAGGAAAAGAACGAGAAGCGGTCAAAACGTTTATCGAAGAAAACACCAGGAAAGGCTTCATTGTCCCATCCAAATCCCCTCAAGCTAGCGGATTCTTTTTCGTAGGAAAGAAAAGCGGAGAATTACGTCCCTGTCAAGATTACCGGTATCTTAACGACTGGACCATATGAAACCAATACCCTCTTCCCTTGCCAAAATCCCTCATCGAACGACTCTATGACGCCAAGTACTTCACAAAGATCGATATAAGATCTGGGTACAATAACGTTAGAATTCACCCCGAAGATCGTTGGAAAGCAGCGTTCACCACACAAGAAGGGCTATTCGAGCCAACGGTCATGTTCTTTGGACTAACGAACTCTCCCGCAACATTCCAAGCGTTTATGGCAAACCTCTGTCAACAACAGATAAACGAAGGGTGGTTGTTTATCTATATGGACGATCTCTTGATCTTCTCAAAAGATCTGCAACAACATCGATTACGGACAATTGAGATCCTCAATATCCTCCGGAAGGAGAAGTTGTTTGTCAAACCTGAAAAGTGCACTTTTGACGCTCAAGAAGTAGAGTATCTCGGAATGATAATCCGACCCGGAGAAGTGGGGATGGAACCCGCCAAAGTAGATGGAATTAAGCATTGGCCGACCCCGGAAAACCTGAAGGACACACGATCGTTCTTAGGGTTTTGCAATTAAAAGTGCACTTTTGACGCTCAAGAAGTAGAGTATCTCGGAATGATAATCCGACCCGGAGAAGTGGGGATGGAACCCGCCAAAGTAGATGGAATTAAGCATTGGCCGAC